ACAAAAAATAACTTTTCTTTTGTGAAGGAATACATAGTAGCAGCGAAACCGTTTATCTTTTTTTTTGTTAAATCGTTTATCTTTTTGAGTTGTTCAAAAAAAAAAAGTCGGAGAATGTTGGGATTTATGCAAGTAAATCGTCATGGTACGTGTAGACTATAATCAAGATTTCGCATGGCTATTTCTGTTTCTTCTTGAAATGTATTGACAAGTGGTTTCAGTTTTACAGCTTTCCTTTATGCCGTCTGGCACAAGTTATCCTTTTGTGTGTCTATATAGCTTCAAAGCTTCCTTCTACGAGAAGTGATTATGTATCTGATATCTCTGTCCAAATCCTTGAAGATTGAAATTGGCGGGATTGAAATCTGGTATTGAAGTACGTTGTTTCTTTGCCTCCATATATTGTAGATTGTGGCAAGTCCTTCGATCTCATGGCTTTGACGGGGCGACGTTGGAGCTTCCTCTGATCCACGAAAGTAATTCTGTCCATCGATCTTTCATACCGGATTTTACCATAATAATGTCGAGCACTTAAATCTTAGTGACTAATATGTTCACAAGTTATAATACATGCATGCATGTGTTACAATTTATTATGTAAGTCTTGCTCCTTTGCGTATTGAAATGCTGCCATTCGTATTGAAATGCTGCCATTTTTATTATAATATGATTTTGATAAAACATGTTTTTTTTTTTTTTTTTTTTTGATAAAACATGTGTCCCATTTAATATATAAGTCTTATCCCTTTGCATGTAAAGAATGTAGAATCATAATTGATAATTCATAATAACCTTATATGGTTTGAAAACGTTAGAAATCTAGAATCAGAATCCATAATAACCTAATCCCTTTGCATATTGATTACGTAACTAATAAGCAAGTTGATGTCGTTGTTATTTGGGAGTGGAAGATATCCTAAGTATGTAACTCAACCGAAAATGGTAACATTATGATATACAAATTGATTTCATGCATTTTGTGGAGTAGGATTTTTTTTTTTTTTTTTTTTTGAAAAGCTTTTTAGATCATGTCTTTAATACAAACAATTATGGCTGAAAATCTGCAGAATCATTGATTTGCACCGATAAAATTTGGAAGGGAAAATTGTGTAACCATAATGTTTTTGGGAATTTATGGGAATCGTTTTTTTTTTTACATAAAATTTGATGGCTATTGATTTTTCTATTTGATTTCTTGATTCTTGGTCATACCTTCTAAAGAAGGTTGGCTTTGCTAAATTATTTTTATTTTCTAAACGGTTTTGAAGATTATATGTAGGATTTTCAAGAAATATTTATGGTAGAAAATAAACATATTTACTTATTTTGGCAGAAAGTTTGTGGAATCAAAATTTTTTTGGAAAGTAATACAATATTTTAATACGATTACAAAAGTAGTACGATTTTGTACAAATATTTAAAATACAGACAATATTTTAAGGTTTTGAGGTTGTTTTAAATTTGCTTCAGTTGGTCTTTTTAATTATTTATTGATTTTAGATTTGCGTTTATTTGTTTCATTGAGTTTAATTTCCTATCAATAAAGAATAATTCTTAATATCATGTTCAGTTGTTTTCTGTGCAGACAGGTTGCTCAACGGAGAGGCTAAGAGCTCTCTTGATAATGTTGCCATTTTTCCAGTCAATTGTGTGGTGTCAATCTTACATAACTTGCAGGATCCACAAAACTGCCATAAGCAAAAACACTCTTTTTTCAGCTAAGCAATAGAAATCAAAGAAAGGTGTATATATTATTTTAGGCTTCGAGAGGGCAATTGATATGATTTAAAAGGAGAACCGGTGGATTATAATAAATGGATTTTTTTAGTGTGTTCATGTTCACATAAACTTTACAAACTTCAATTTTGCTGAAAATTAGCAGAATCATATTTTGCATAGACCTTACAATTTTTTTTTGGAAACATATTTTAAGTATTCTGGATATTTGTCAATCTATGTTACACAAATTAATTGCCAAAAAAAATCATTGACTCACATTTACGGCGAAAGATTTGTTAATCAGTTTTTTTTTGTGTGAACATTGAAAATAGTTTGTCTTAGCGATTTTTTTTAAACATTTGGAAAACAACATTTCCACTTTTAATATGTTCACGGGAACTTTACAAACTTAAATTTTGGTGAAAAAATTAGGAAATTATATTTTGCATTAAAACCTTACAATATTTTTTTGGAACAATATTTTGAGTATTCTGGATATTTTTCAATATATGTTGCACAAATTAATTGTAAGAAAAACTCTTTGACTCACATTTACGGCGGAAGATTTGCTAATTAAGATTTTTGGGTGAGAACATTGAAGAATAGTTTGTCTTAGCGATTTTTTTATAAAAAATAGGAAAACAACTTTTCCACTTTTAATATGTTCACGGAAACTTTACAGACTTAAATTTTGGTGAAAAATTAGCAGAATTATATTTTAAAACCTTACAATATTTTTTTGGAGAAGTATTTTGAGTATTCTGGATATTTTTCAATCTATGTTGCACAAATTAATTGCAAAAAAGTCATTGACTCACATTTACGGCTGAAGATTTGCTAATCAGGTTTTTTTTTGTGAGAACTTTGAAGAATATTTTGTCTTAGCGATTTGTTTTAAAACATTTGGAAAACAACTTTTCGACTTTTCATATGTTCACACGAACTCTACAGACTTAAATTTTGGTGAAAAATTAGCAAAATTATATTTTGCATTAAAATCTTACAATATATTTTGGAAAAAGTATTTTGAGTATTCTGGATATTTGTCAATCTATGATGCACAAATAAATTGCAAAAAAAGTCATTGCCTCATATTTACGGCGGAAAATTTGCTAATCATATTTTTTTTTTTGAACATTGCAGAATAGTTTGTTTTAGCGATTTTTTTTAAAACATTTGGAAAACAACTTTTCGACTTTTCATATGTTCATGGGAATTTTACAGACTTAAATTTAAGTGAAAAATTAGCAGAATTATATTTTGCATTAAAACCTTACAATATTGTTTGGAAAAGTATTTTGAGTATTCAAGATATTTGTCAATCTATGTTACACAAATTAATTGCAAATTAATCTTTGACTCACATTTACGGCGACAGATTTGCTAATCATTTTTTTTTGGTGAGAACGTTGAAGAATAGTTTGTCTTAGGGATTTTTTTTTCAAACATTTGGAAAACAATTTTTTCAAATTTAATATGTTCACGGGAACTTTACAGACTTAAATTTTGGTGAAAAATTAGCAGAATTATATTTTGCATTAAAACCTTACAATATTTTTTTGGAAAAATATTTTGTGTATTCTGGATATTTTTCAATCTATGTTGCACAAATTAATTGCAAAAAATCATTGAATCACATTTACGGCGGAAGATTTGGTACTCAGTTTTTTTTTGTGAGAACATTGAAGAATATTTTTAATGTCTTAGCAATTTTTTTTATACATTTGGAAAACAACTTTTCAACTTTTATTTTACATTGGAACCTTACAATATTTCTTTAAAAAGGTATTTTGAATATTCCGGATATTTGTCAATTTATGTTGCACAAATTAATTTCAAAAAAAGTCACTGACTCACATTTACGGCGGAAGATTTGCTAATAAGTTTTTTTTTGTGAGAACATTGCAGAATAGTTTGTCTTAGCGAATTCTTTTTTAAAACATTTGGAAACCAACTTTTCGACTTTTAATATGTTCACGGGAACTTTAGAGACTTAAATTTTGGTGAAAATTAGCAGAATTATATTTTACATTAAAACCTTACAATAATTTTTTGGAATAGTATTTTGGTATTCTGGATATTTGTTAATCTATGTTGCACAAATTAATTGTAAAAAAAAAAATCATTGACTCACATTTACAGCAGAAGATTTGCTAATCAGATTTTTTTGTGAGAACATTGCAGAATAGTTTTTGTGATATATTTCTATTATATTATTTGAGATGTACATTTGTATGTTGGAAATAAGGTGCAAAGAGTCATATTCTTTGCATTGCATACAAATTATTCAATATTGTAAGTGTTAGCCAAACCTTACAATATTTTTTACTCTTTGCATTTAAATGAATTTAATGAATTATATTATCAATAATTAAAGTGTTAGTCTCTTTGTCAATTGTTTCTCCATTTTTGTTGTTCATTGATGATGAATCTGTTATGTTGGTTGTTATAAATGATTTCATAATAAACAAAACACAACATATAAACAAAATATTAATCAGATAGGAAAATTACACCTCAGCTTCTGTACCAAGTTCTAAAAATCTTTATGCTTATTTGTTCAATATAAATTTCAAATTTCTACGTAAATCTTAAAAGTTCACAATTCATCCGCGCATTAGGCGCGGGCAATCATCTAGTATTTATGAAATCAACAACATCTATTGAATTTTACTATATTTCCTTTTCCGATATTGATTTAACATTTTCTTTTTAAAATTTCTACAAGGCACCCTCTTAGAAAAATATATATACTCATTCATCATAGGTCTAATACTACAACGATTGATTCACACAAGTCATAAGTCTTTTCCTGAAGTGAAAGCGAGCAGACACAAGTCACACAACAACCAAGGAAAGAGAGAAGCGGACAAAGGACAGGTAGTCTCTCTTTTCGTTTGATTCTATTCGTCTCTTATGCTTGATTTTGATGTTCAAACATAAAATTAGGGTTTCCAGTGGTTAAACTAGGGTTTATATTCCGCCGATCGCTTCTCGTTCTGTGTTTTGGCCAGAAAATTATTTGCTCTGCTTTTGATTCTCTTCGGTCTCTTGTGCCAATTTGTTTTGTCTGGATTAATACGAATATATTCTTCAAACTCTTAACATAACACGCGATTGTGAGACAGTTTTGTTTTTCTCTTTGATATGTTCTTTAAAATTGTGTTGATTCCAATGCTTTCTGTTCTTTGTAGAGATAGCTTTGTTTGCAAGTCTCTCTCTCTCTTTTTTTTTTAACTATATCAAGGCTAACATTGAAATCGATTCGATGCAGAGACACAATGCCGAAGAACAAGGGAAAGGGAGGAAAGAACAAGAAGAGAGGAAAGAAAGAAGATGATGATGACAAGCGTGAGCTGGTCTTTAAGGAAGATGGGCAAGAGTATGCACACGTTGTTCGTATGCTTGGCAATGGCAGATGTGAAGCCAAGTGCATTGACGGCGTCACCCGTCTCTGCCATATCCGCGGCAAGATGCACAAGAAGGTTTGGATCGCAAACGGTGACGTCATTCTTGTTGGTCTGAGGGACTTCCAAGATGAGAAAGCTGATGTCATCCTCAAGTACACGTCTGATGAGGCAAGGCTTCTCAAGGCGTATGATGAGCTTCCGAAGAATTTCCGTATCAATGAAGGCGTTGCTGGTGATCTTGATGAAGATGATGATATTGGTGGTGATGATTTATTTGAGTTTGAGGACGGAGAAATTGATACTATCTAAGATTTTTTTTTGTTTGTTTGGTCTAAAGCTAGTTTCAGCTTTGTAATATCAAATTTTGAGAGATGCATAGATTTGATATTAATGCTAAAATGAATAACTTGTTATGTCTTTTTGGTGCTCCAAATAATTTACAGAAAGTTGTTATCAGATTCGAAAGAACAAACTATTGTGAAACACAAACTATTCGAAAGAACAATCTTAGGTAAATCATTATTATTATCTCAGCAGCTGCTATTTAACTTCCACGAGGTTTCTTCGCACTCGTGTCCCATTTTGCAGCTTATTGGTGTGGTCTTTGCCTTCTTAGCTTTCTTGTTCTGTTGTTGCATGTCCCTTTTTGATGCTTGAAGCTGCAAAAGAAGAACAAACGACAACACTTAATGGACTATGAATATGTTTTACCTTCTATGCAAGCTTTGTGTGAGTTTAACTTTATTTTTACCCTATGATGTCTTCTCTGGCTTTTGTAGTTTGGAACCGATTTTCGCTTTGACATAGTCGCTTTAGAACTATTCTTTTCTGTCTGCAAATCTTTGTGTTCATCTTCTTGTTTCTCTGGTATGCTTTCGAACTGGAGAGGTATGTCGTTGGAAGCACAACTCTCTAACTCGCCAGCTACACCAAAAGCTCTGTTCTTCCTTACCAATCTTTGATTTTTCGTCGAAACATCGAAAATTTTTGTTCTTGGTTCCATCGGAATGCTGTCTGGTACACGAGTCGCCATCCATCGTTCTAGCCAACTCCAGCCAACGTTAGATTCATCATCTTCACTATTTCTATCTACTTGCTTCTTCTTTGAGCATATTCTTAGCTTTGAAAACAAATGTTTCACAGTTTAGACAAATAGGATTCAACTAGAGATCAATGGTTTTAAGTTTTCTTGTACCTGTTGTGAAAATGCATAAGCAAGTGCTCTCTCTCGTTTAGTCATTGCTTCGTTTCTGCTTTGAATCCTTAGTTTTGACATTGTGCTGCTCAATGTGCTATCATCCCAATCTTCCTGTTTATGTAAACATGTTTACGTTAAGTCTTTCTTGAAACTCTCCATTTACTTAGTGCATTAGATGTTTTTGCTTTACCTTTATCCTAAGAACTTGAGTTTGGCTCTTCTGTGATGTTCTTGAGACTCGTTTTCTCCTAAAGAACGGTGTTTTTGCGGAGTTACATGTTTGAACTTCTAGTGATGTCCCCATGGATGATACTTTACCTTGAGATTCTTCTCCTGAGAAGAAGCTTTCTTCCTTAGAAAACGTTTCTTCTACTGCTTTGCTTTGACGCATTGCCTGAAACACATCCTAAGAGTCAATGGAGTGAAAACAATAGAGGAACAAACCTTGAAGAAGATGTAACGCAGCGAAAAGGTACTAACCAGGTAACTCTTAAATGCTCTCTGAATTATGATTGCTGCGTCTTCTTCGATGAACAACTTAGAGATTGGACTAGTATGATGCTTCTTTGGTATATGTGTCTCTGTTGTTTCGCTTTGGTTATCATCTTCTTTTGGTAGTTTCGGTTTCTTTGCGTGTAATGGTTGAGTCACTGTTGCCTCTGAGCTCTTTACGGAACTAGAGTCCTCATCCTCAAAATGTTGTTTTACAGAAGCTGAATCTTGAGTTGCAAGAACCGAATCATCTAAAGGTAGAACCAAATCTGAACTCAGCCGTTGAGACATTGTGAGAACAGAGTCCTTTGTTGATCCTGAATCATCAACAGCGAGAACAGAGTTGAATTCATCTCCACAAAGGTATGATCTAACAGAGCTCCATCTTTTCTTCTCTCCTAGATTACTGCTTCTTCCCTGAAACATCACAACTTACAATGTCAGTAATTATTATAAAAAAAAACAGAATCATGGGTTTTGATGAAAATGTACATTGTTGTAGTCATGAGCTCCAAATGATTTGTTTCTGAAGAAAATGCTTCTAACTAGTCCTCCTGTAACACCCATCTCTCTCTCTGTGTTTGTTTCAGAACAAGTTGAGAAATGAGAACACAAACATGTGAGGTTGATTATATAAAAGCTGAGGAAGAAAAAGAAAGTTGCATTATTTTTAAGAATCAAAACCACATGACTCATCAACAGGAGTGGTACCACATGTAAAAAAGAGATTCAAAGGACATGTATAGAGCAGGATTAAAAAAAAAAGTGAAAAAGCTTAGGTATAGCGTATAGTGCAATAGTTATGATTGTGATCCAGAAGAAAAGCATCATCTATCAATCTATGATGAAATTTTTATATTTTAATTATTGAATAGTGAAATCGTGAGTTTTTGTGGTCTCGACTTTGATTACTTTAGGAAATGTTAAAGCCAGATGCTTTGGGGTTGCACATGGAGAGCATCGGATTGGTTCTTTACTTATGCAAACGGCAATTTCACTCAATCTCACTTTTTTATTTTATTTTCCATCTCTGTCACATTGCTGATGAAAATTTCTTAATGGTTCTGGCTTTTTATTTCTTATTGGAAATGGAAATGTTTTTTTTTTGTACGGTTTACTCTATCTTTAGACTTTTCAATTCAGAGCTTTTGTGCCATAGTAATCTTTGTAATTTTTTTTCTTTCTTTTTTTTTTTTTTGTTTCTATTGTCGGCAAATGGATCCTATTGGTTACAGGAAGTTAGCCTATGGAGCAAGTATAGATATCCCACGATAAAGATAAATACAAACTCACAAAAATGGTAAGTAAAACCCATAGTATTAAACATTCTCTTAAAAATGGATTGACCATTGCTCTGAAATTATTCTGATGTTTTGGTTTTAGCTAAAAACCTATAGGATCAAACCACTTTCATATCCCGTATGTCAAAATGGCAAAGTCACTATTCTTAAATCATTCGGACGTTTTGGTTTTGGTTAAACCGGTCAAAAAGTTGGTCAACGAGAAAATCAATATTTTTTTGGTCTAGACATCTTACTTTTTTGTGTTATCAATTCTTCATTGATCGATTGGTATAGTAAGTTAGTAACCATTTAACTTTATGAGAGACTCACAAGGTTCGAAACTTGGTTTGGTGAAATGGTAACAGTAAGTGGAACACCACACTTGTTCCTCACAATTATTTCATTTATTTTTGATATTAATTTGGGAAAATAAACAATATCTAACATTATAGAGTAAATATGTTTGTAATAAAATATAAACATAGAATAAGGTTTTTCAAAAACAAACCCATTTATGTTTCAAAGAGTAACAACTATAGGAGTTCTGCTTTGACAGAAGAAGAAACTCGATGGAGAAAAGAAAAAGTAAGTGGAGAGATATAATTAAGAAGAACTTGGTTATAACAATCCTGATATCGAGAAGTGATACTAGCTAGTAATATTATGAAACTGAACTTTGATTAAACCAAAACAGCTATTCTTTATTTTTTCTGTTATGTTTTCATTTCAATTTCTTTTCTTCTTCAAATCACAAACGTAAGAATTGCAAGAGAGCGAGTTTGATAGTTAGAGAGCAGAGCTTTATGACGTTGAAACCCTAGACTAACTTGTAAATACGAACATAATTATTTATGCATAAAATATAAATAATGGAAAAGAAGATAACTACAATCAGTTTCGTTTAGTCAACTCCATGGAAAAGAAGATAATTACAATCAGTTTCGTTTAGTCAACTCCAGAGAATCCAGTTGTCAGTCTACACCACTTTCCGGTAAAGAACCTCGTACGTGGCAGTCTGAAGCCGTACGTGTTAGCTTCAGAGACTTGAAGAGAGCTAAAAGACAAAATCTCCAGGGTGCCGACTAATTAAAGAGGTGTATGGTAGTGATGTATGTCCTCAACACCTCCCCCGCTTGGTGTTGTAATATTTTTTGTTTGAATCTATCATGACATGTTATCTAAATCTAATAGCTTGTTGCTTACGTAAACCGGTGCAGCTATAAATAACACGAGGGGTTGTAAACACAACTGCATAGTAGTAAAGATGAATACAAAGACTTTTATCGTATGGTTTCTTTTGGTAGCGGCTGTCGTCGTTGCTGTTGCAGCAGACGCTTCCGTGGATGACAAGAAAAAAGGTGTTTAGTATTCTTTATTTCTATGTTTCATAAAGCTTGATATAATTCTTACGTTAAAGGATGTTTTGAACAGGTGCAAAAGAAGTAGAAGTACCAACCGTAGAAAGCAAAGGACAAGCTACGGTTGAGGCTGCCGTTGAAGAGAATAAAGACAACAACTATGAAGTTGATCAACATGGCGGCGGTGGAGGATGGGAAGGAGGCGGTGGAAAGGGTGGAGGATGGAAGGGAGGCGGTGGAGGAGGATGGAAAGGAGGCAGCCGTGGGGGAGGATGGAAAGGAGGAAGTGGCCGTGGGGGAGGATGGAAAGGAGGAGGTGGCCGTGGGGGAGGATGGAAGGGAGGTGGTGGTCGAGGAGGTCGTGGTGGAGGGGGTGGTGGTCGAGGAGGTGGTGGCGGAGGCTATTCCACGGAAGAAATAAATAGTGCCCCTGATGATGTACACAGTTTTGAAGAAGAGAAAGATATCAACTATCAACCAAACGGCGGAGGATGGGGAGGATGGGGAGGAGGTGGATGGGGTGGCCCAGGTGGATGGGGAGGAGGTGGATGGGGTGGCCCAGGTGGATGGGGTGGATGGGGTGGCCGAGGTGGATGGGGTGGATGGGGAGGCCGAGGTGGATGGGGTGGATGGGGAGGCCGAGGTGGATGGGGAAGAGGCGGATGGGGCGGATGGAACTGAGCCACTGACACAGAGGAAACAACTGGTGGTGGTGGAGGAGGTCGAGGAGACGGTGGTGGCGGTGGAGTGTAAAATCGACCGTTACTACTAACAACAATAGAAACGAAATATTATACATAGAAATGTAAGTGTATGCAAAAAATAAACTATAATAAATAACGGTTGATGTACGCCCATGCATTATGCTACCGCACATAGCCTAGACCAAAGCTTAAATGTTATGTAAGATGTATCGTATAATCAATATATATCTTAGTTGTTGAGTGATTCTAATAATTTTCTTTAAGTTTAAAGTTTAAACTAACATGTCTCACACACATTCGTACTCCAAAGACGATTGAGAAATATATAATCATATATCTACCGAATATACTGAGTTCAACTCTATCTTGAATAAAAACATATGTCTTCGTCTTGTTTGTTTGTTGAAGCTGTGAATTAATGTTCGTTTAGCTCATAAATAAACAGCATTGGGAAATTAATTTGAAAATATCTCAATAGTCTAGAGGGAGCATTCACTTGATTCAGTCAAAATTTATAAATGACAAAAATATTCCTCCGACGAGTTTTGCTACCGCTTCTCTCTGGTGAATCTCGCCGCTGCTTCTCTCTCCGGCGAACTAGCACTGGCGAGCTTCTTTTCTCTTTCTTTTCTTTTTATGTCGACAAGCTCTTTGTTTCTCTTGACTATCAGAAACTCTTTTACGAAACATCCATTGCTTTCTTCTTCAAGTTTACTCTTCTAGGTCTTACTTTTTTTTTCTGAATTCCTCTGATGATTGTGATTCATGAGTTTTGATTTAGATCCTCAAACTCTCTTTTGAACATTGACATTTAGACATTTTGTATTGTTCCCATGAACGTCTTTGTCTTCTCTAGTATATTACTATATTAGCTTTTCGATGTTTTAGGTTTAGTGATGTGACTATTTAGCTTATAAAAAAATTGTTTTCGCTAGTTTTTCTCTGCTTATGAGTGGTTTAATCTAAACCATGTAGGCATGTACTTTGGTGCGAATTGGTTTTGGCATTTGTTTGATTGCCATGGAACATTCTCATTAGTGCTAACATGATATACACGAAGTCTATGTATGAGTAACATTGTTTCTTATCGTGTATTATAAGTGACGAACTGATACTATTGAGTGGCTTTAACTTTGCTGTATATAGAGCAGATCAAGGCTACAACTACAAGCATGCATTCAAACGCATGCACCAATTAATAAATAACCTAAGTCTTAATATCTAAACAATAACTCTAGGAATAGACCTGGTAATAACAAAAGCCCAGCCCAAACCAGATTATTGTTTTATGAAATCCTTCTTCCTCGGTGGAATTTAAACCGCCGTTGTTTTCATCAGGCTCTCAACTCTTCCCGGCAAAGTAATCCGCCGCTGTTTTCATCTTCTCCATGGCCAACTCTAACATGAAACCGGTCGTCACAGCTAATTTATTGGGTAAGAGAAAGCCGGAAGTTGATTTGGAGAGCAAACCGGTTCTGAGTAAACATAAGCAGAAGGAGACAACGAAAGGATTTCCTGATAGTCTCCAGCAGATCAAAGGAAGAGTCGAGTTGTTGGAGACAAATTCTTATCATGAAGCTAATTTGATCTCAGTGAAGGTATAATTTTTGGAATATTTTGCATATACTTGCAGTACAAGTTTTACGTTCAATTAAGCTCTCTTGTTCTTATTATGGCTACTACTCATGTAACAGCTCATGTAACAGGACACAGTGGAAGGAAATCCCGATTTTGTTGAGGTATCTCTTCTTATTATCTTTAAAGTCGAAAGATGAATATACTTTTTTATTTTGTTATGAAATTAAATTATTTTCTCCTTAGAGTCTTGCTCCTTACACACTTGGCTGTTATATAAATTCAGGATGCTGCCGTAAGGAACAAAATGCTCTTTGCTGGCAGTTTCTCTAATGAAACTGAAGTGTCAGATATGTAAGTAGATAGCACCTTAAGTTTCAAATTACGTTCTCGGAGCAAGACGACTAATATAGTTTATCATCCATTTTGGCAGCATCGATTTCTTCAAAGATGCTGGAGAAGTTGTTGGTGTTCGGTTTATTGTAGGCAAGGGCAGACGCAGACATGTGGGCTATGGCTTTGTTGAGTTTGCTTCTGCTAACGAAGCAAATAAGGTGAGAATAGTTTACAGTAATGACAAGTAGTCATTTGTTAAATATTCAAGTACAGTACGTAGTTATTTTGAAAAATACGACTGCTAATAAAATCTTTTGTACTTTAAGGCGCTGCAAATTAAGAATGGTGGATATTTGCACAAACGTAAGATTTTGTTGATGAAAGTACACGATGAAACTCCTGATTTTGTTGAGGTACCTCTTCTCTTACTATCTTCAGAATATGACTTATTTTGGGATTGATGAATCAACATTTTGTTGTTATGCAATTTAAGTATTTTCTCCTTGGATGCAGGAAGATGCGGTACCAAGAAAGACGCTATTTGTTGGCCACATCTCTCGGCACACTGAAATATCAGATATGTAAGTAGTAGCTCTCTAAATTTCTCTTTCGTTCTTGGAGCAAGTTTTTCATCGCTAATAATATTGTATCCTCCATTTCTACAGCATTGATTTCTTCAGAGATGTTGGACAAGTTGTTCGTGTTAGACTTGTTGCAAGCCACTTTGACACGCACGTGGGCTGTGGTTTTGTTGAGTTTGCTTCTGCTAACGAGGCAAAGAAGGTTAGAGTAGTCTATAGTAATGATGAAACAAGTATTTAAGTAGTTATTTGAAATTAGGATTGCTGATTAAATGCTTTTATGTTGTAGGCGCTTGAAAAAAAGAACGGTGAACATTTGCACGGTTCCAAGATTTTTCTTGATGTGGCTAATGAGGAAGCTACATACCAAGCACCCATGTAAAGTGACTTTATGTTATGGAAATTTGTTTCTGTAGCATTGGTTGTAACTTATTGCAAGACAGAAGACTAATGTTATTTTTATTTTTTTTGTTCATTAGGTATTGCATTGATCACAGGGTTTGGTAAGGGATTATTGTCTCTTGAGTTTGTTAACAAGAGCACATTGGGTGATTGGTATATATGGAGAGGTGACAAGGGGTTTTTATATGTTCCAGGTACGAAGACAACCTTGGAAGAGAAAGCCTTGCGATAGAAGAAGACGAGACACCTCGCAAATTTGTTGAGTACCTCTTCATGTTATCTTCAAAATATGTCAGGCTCAGTAGTAACGGCTCAGTAGTAACGCTTAGCGTTTAATAACACAACTGTTGCCACAAAGTCGATGAGACTACTTTTTGTCGTTTTGTAATTTAAGCCCTTTTCTCCTTAAGAGTCCTGCTAACACACTTGGCTGTTTGATTTCAGGACGTACTCCTTGTTGCTAATCTCTCTCCCCAAACAAATGAAATAGTAGACATGTGAGTAGCACCCTAAATTTCCACTTTCCTTCTCTGAGCATGTTTTCATATTTTGATATTTTATTTTCCCTTTTTGACAGCTTCAATTTCTTCCAAGATGTTGGAGAAGTTGTTGGTGTTCGACTTATTGTGAACCACGAGGGTAAGAATTTGGGCTATGGCTTTGTTGAGTTTGCCTCTGCTTGCGCAGCAGATGAGGTGAGAGTAGATTTTGTAGTTATGATTAAAACATATACAAGTCATCAGTTAATCCAAAAGTACCACAATAGCTGATTAATATATTCTATACTGTAGGCGCTGGAAAAGAAGAATGGTGAATATCTGCACGATCATAAGATTTTTCTGATGAAAGGACCTGATGAAACTCCCGATTTTGACGAGGTACTGTTCTTATTATTTTCAAAAAAATATATATATATGTTGTTGTGCAATTTATAGTCCTCTTCTCCTTTTGTTGTTATGCTGACACTCTTTCATGCTGTTAAATTCAGGTAATTGCCGTAAGAAATAAGACGCTCTTTGTTACCAATCTCTGTTCTCACCGAACTGAAATATCAGATATGTAAGTAGTAGCATCTCTAATTTTCTCTTTTGTTCTTGGAGCAAGTTTCTTATGACTAATATTTTATCCTCTTATTTTTACAGTATCAATTTCTTCAAAGATGTTGGACAAGTTGTTCATGTTCGACTTGTTGTAGACCACGAAGGAAAGTATGTGGGCTACGGTTTTGTTGAGTTTGCTTCTGCTAACGAAGCCAAGGAGGTGAGAGTAGTTTGTTTAGTTTTAATGATGAAAGAAAGTAGGATCGCTGATTAAATATTTTATATTGTAGGCGCTTGAAAAGAAGAACGGTGAATATCTGCACGACCGTGAGATTTCTCTTGATGTTTTTAAGACAGAACTAGACCCTAAACTAGACAAGTAAAACTGATTTTTGAGATTTGTACATGTAAATTATTGCTAGAGTTTTGATGCCATTACAGAAGACTAATAAGGCTATTCTTTTTTTGTTAATTAGGTATTTCATCGATGACGAGGTCTGGTAAGGGATTTTACTATTTGCATGTTGAGTTTGTTATCAATAAATTATCACATTGGTTGAAGTTTGTGGTATACATGGTTTTTGATAATTTCCAGGTACGAAGACTACCTTCGAAGAGAAAGTTTTCTGATAGAAGAAGATGCGGAGGCAGTGGAAGGACTCGATGAAACCCTCGATTTTGCTGAGGTACCTCTTGTTATTATCTTGAGAACATGTCATCTAATATCACAACTGTTTGGAAGATGATTCTACGTACTTTTGGTTGTTATGCAATTTATGTATTTTTCTGCTTAAAACTCAGGAAGCCGTAAGAAAAAAGACGCTCTTTGTTTCCAAGCTCACTGGCAACATGAGAATGGGTGCTATGTAAGCACACCATCTTTAATCTCCTCTTTTCATTCTCGGAGCCATTTTTGTCATGACTGATATTTTTATCATATCCATTTTTACAGCATCCAAGTCGTAAAAGATGTTGGAGAAGTTGTTCGTGTTCGACGTTGTGTAGACCACAGGGGTGAGCGTTTGGGCTGTGGCTTTGTTGAGTTTGGCTCTGCTTACGAAGCGAAGAAGGTGAGATTAGTTTATAGTAATGATGAAAAGTTTACGATTGCTGACTGATTAAATGTTTTATACTGTAGGCGGTGGAAGAGAAGAATCGTGGTCCGATTTTTCTTAGCATGGCAGAGAGAGCTCGATACCCTTTCCGACCCAAGTAAGTTAAGAGATTTTTTTCTCTAGTTTATTAGTTGTTGCTTTAGTTTTAATGTCATAACATTAACACAAGATTAACGCTATTATTTTTGTTAATTAGGTACAAGCTTGCAGAGAAGCTCTTGTAAGAGATTTAACTATTTTGCCTTTTGAGTTCTGTTATCAAGAAGAGTACATCGGGTGAAGTATTTGGTATGACTAAGGGTTTTTGATATATATATTTCAGGTGTGAAGACAAGCTTCGACGAGAAAGTCTTGTTGTCAAGATCGTCGGTAAGAAGACTACCTTCTCGTATGACGACGACTGATAGAAGAAGATGAAGAAGCTCTTTGGTGTATTTTAACTTCTAAAACAATGCATCTTAAGTTTATATCTTCACTACGAGTCTACGAACCTCTTTGTCAACCTCTTTGTCTTCACGTATGTGGTAAGACAAAATCCAATTTCTCTGATTTTTTCTTTCTGCGTTTTATAACTTCTCTCAACTTCTATCTATTTATAAAAATTATGCAAGTCTAGCATCAATGTATATGAAACAAAAAAAAGTCGTCTCCGGTTTGACTAATAGACTTGTAGCACACGAAATGAAGACATGTACAAACCAATCCACAACAAATGTTGTGTTGAAGTTTTTCTTTCTAATCTTAAAACTGATTAAATTTAATCCAAGTTGTAGAATCTCTTTGTTTATACCATACCAAAGAGAGGGAGATAATTGAAGATGAGAATTGTGCTTTTTAGAGTATTGTAAGCTTTTCATAGGATTATTATAGTTAATTATATTTAGATAAAAGCTTCGAACCCAAATTCACATTCTTTTTGTTGAAGTACTATTAAATTCTTTTACAAATGGTATTACCGTAAGAACCAAGGTAGTCTTGAACAACACTAACATTTAATGGAAAAACGGAAGATGATAATATTTCTTTTCAAGAACAAGAAGTCAAGAACATAAGACTGAAATATCTACCCGGAGTAGTGTTTAGAAGGAAAAGATTCCCAATTCAAGAAAAAAAACACTACTCATTATTTATCTCATAATCTTTTTCTCTCTTCCTCAATCCTTAGATTTTTTAGTTCTTCTCTTTCTTCTTGGCAGGGCTTTCAGTTTCAGCTTGGAAAATTTAGGTTCATAGAAAAAGAAAAGATAAACACTATGATACGTTCAATTTTTGGAAAAGGCCACACAAATCTGAAAATTGCTTTAGGCCTCCACTAATCTCGGGCCGCCCTGTGAAAGAGTGTTATTATCTTCTGAAGGCAATCAAGCCCCACAGCATTACCATGTCCATCACCAAGCAGATCGCAACGAACACAGATGACAACTTTCCCAGCCAACACTCGCGCAGTCTTTCCCCTGAATCTTCTTGGTACATCTCTGATCACAGTTGTGTCACAAAGGTAACCGTGCTTGGGTGTGGGTTTTTTGTTAGTCTTGGCCGGAAAGAAGTCTCTCTTAGCTCCCGCTGGCACAACGTTTGGAGAGCCTCCTCAAACTCTGATCATGGATCAAAAGACGAGCGACTGTACTTCCAACTAAAACACCTCCAACTAAAACAGTGAGATTGGGAGCAATAACGACCATATGGGTCTCCAAGTATAGCTGAGACATGTGCTCTTCAAATTGAATAACCTCCTCACAAAGTGAGTGGATTAGCAGCTGATCGACTTCAGAAACTTCTGATCCCATTGATGTGACAGCCTCTCTCTTCGAGTATTCGAGTCTTCGTTGTGTTTTCCCAGCAGTAAATGCAACCACACAATAATCAAGATGAAAAAAATAATATGTATATGATATGATGAATTCCACACAATAATCGATTCCTTGCCTCCTTGAATATGATATGGAACAAAAAAAAAAAATTCTTACACTTCTGGCATTGTGAAATAAATTAAAGGGTCTCAGACCCTTTTTTTTTTTTGTCAACGCTCATAGCTAGATATAAAACTCATATTAAACATGATAAATAGAACACCATTATAAAATGTTTGTCGCATACTATTACAAATCTTAAACTTCAAGAATTGCACAATTTTTGCGCACAATCAAGTAGCGTGTACACAACAGTCTTATGGAAACAAAATGCAGAGTTTTCAAAAAAGAAAACAATATGAATACTATGAAATGTGAATAACGTTGCAAAAGAAGAAAACTAACATGTGACTTTTTGAAGAATAAAACAAAAATGTTCATTGTTATCTTAGCTCATTGTTAAACTTGATCATTGTTATCACTTTGAGGGAATAATAGATTATGATACTTATGTATTTACTGTGACTACCATATTATTTTATGGTATGAGTTCTCATTATGCCATTACATTTCAATTTAGAACAAGAAAATGTCATACTTGAATGTTTGTGGTTAATAACGTCGCGTTGTTGCCGTATTGTCAGTTAAATTTTTGTGGTTTACAATTTTCCATGAGTGACATCACAGCAGGTTGGACAACGAAGTCTCTAACCAAGGACAAAACCGTCCAAAATTTTCTTCCATGGTCACTCACTTAATATTTGGAATTGGAATATGATGGCTATATACTTAATATCAATGCCCATTATTGTTATACACCAAATTAAGCCAATAAATTACAGTGTCTCAAACCCTTTTTTTTTCCTTGAATTTTATGTTATTGTCAAAGCTCGAAGGCAGATATAAAACTCACATTAGTCATGGTGAACGGAACACCATCATAAAGTGAGACCATAACAATCTTTAAGAACGTCCATAACAAAAAAATGATAAACATTGACCCCATAAAGTTGTGAGTTTTTAAACAATGCAAATGAAAAAGACAACAAAGAAAACCGAAAAAAATGTTTTAAACAACATTATGATCCCATCAAGACAACATAGAAAGAGACATGTGTGTTCATTGGATTCATGACAATCTTTGACTAATTTTAGACATTCAAGGAAAGCTTTTGAGCTGCAAGTGCTTCAGCTTCAAGCGTTGGCTCCCAAAGGAGTGTGGTCTCAGCCAGAAGTGAAGTCACAATGTATGGGTCCATGTTTGATGCTGGACGTCTATCTTCCAAGTAACCTATATTCCAATCCACAGCAATAACATGTTAGCAACATACAACAAAAATGAGGTCACAATGAATCAGTACCTTTTCCATTCTTCTCGGTATCACGTCCCACACGAATGGAGCATCCACGGTTAGCCACACCCTGCCAAGTTGACGTTTAAAGCAAGTAAGCAGAGTGACACAAAATAAAGACTTAAAATGTGAAACCTTTTAAGACTCTTAATGCATATGCATTACCCATGAGAACTGGTCAATACTAGCTGTCTCGTGCTTTCCTGTTAACCTTCTTTCATTGCCTTCACCGTAAGCACTGATATGCTCCATGTGGCGAAGCGAGAGGTTCAAGATCGCCTTTTTTATCACCTCGAATCCTCCTTCCTCTCTCATGCTCTTGGTACTGTAATTGGTATGGCAACCAGCACCGTTCCAGTCACCATCTATCGGTTTGGGGTCGAGTGTTAGGACCACTCCAGCTTGTTCTGTGATCCTCTGCAAAAACAAAGGTCACAACAGTTACTTACAAGAGCTTAACTCTCACTCAGTCAATCATTATGAGACTTTTGATTGATTACCTCAAGAAGGTATCTAGCACACCAAACATGATCACCTGCTTCGATTCCTACGCTCGGCCCAACTTGGAACTCCCACTACACCAAATGTTTAGAAACATCAGAGAATTGAAAACATTGTAAAGCATACAAATTTATTGGGAAAAAAAAAAAACAGACCTGTCCTGGCATAACTTCACCATTAGTACCACTAATGTTGATTCCAGCATATAAGCAGGCTTTGTAATGAGCATCTGAAATGTCACGTCCCCATGACTTTTCAGCTCCAACTCCACAGTAGTAAGGACCCTTAACATCAACATCAACATCAACAAGAAAGAAAGTTGGTTACTTTTTTTTTGTAAAACCAACACAAAAAATACACAATTTGGCTTGAGTTGGTTATATCACCTGAGGACCAGGATAAGCTCCAACAGGCCAACCCAAAGGCCAGTTCACATTTGGCTGAAGTAAAGTGTACTCTTGTTCAATGCCAAACCTATTCAAATATTCATGATGAAAGTATTCAAATTTAAGCACCAAATTCTAAGGTAAACCGATTATAATGAGATTTTTTTCAGGTAATGAACAAACCATGGTATCTCTCCATTGACCTTCTTGTTGTTGAAAATCTCAGCAGCTTTGGCACGTTTGTTCGTTGGAATTGGCTCACCAGCTGGTGTGTAAGTATCACATATAACCTTCACATAAACAAAAAGCTCAATACTTTAGTGTGTCATTACAAAACAAACATGTTGCTTATACTATCAGACTCAATGATAAAACATACCAATATGTTATTGCCTCCACGGAAAGGATCTCTGAAGATAGCTTGTGGGCTGAAGATATGAAAATATGAGATTTTGAAGTAACAACAAAACGAGAACAGAAAATGTATAGTGCCTTGGGGAAAAAACTTACTATAGAATCACTTCACTATCTTCACCAGGAGCTTGTCCGGTACTGGAACCATCATAGTTCCACTTGGGAAGCTGAGAAGGATCTTCCACAGGCTTCTCAAGAGTCTGAAATTGTTTCACATTACATTAGTTTCTTAGCATCATAATTCTTGATACAAATTTTACTACAGTCTAATGAGAAAATCATTACCCTTGACTTGCTTCTAAGATCAATTCCAGATCCTCCAATCCTATTCAAATTAAGAAACAAATTGTTAGGAATCTCGCATCTGAAATGAGATGAGGCCTATAGTGATATATGTAAAAGTGAATATATATATACCAAATGTACTCAGCGATGATCCGGTCAGTGAAAGGTTTGGTGTCTAAGTTGAGAAGACTCTCAACTCTATTGATTGTACTGTTGTCAGACTGTAGAGCCATCACTCTGAAGCTTCTTACTTTGCTGCTCTGCTTCTTCTGTTTCAACATAACAGAGCTCCATAGCTTTGACGATGGAATGGAGCTTGGTTTAGTCACTCTCATTTGACATGTTGGAGAAGCTGCTAAGATCTGTGCCATTTCTTTGGATCCCTGATCAAATTTCAAAAAGAATCCAAATCCAAGATCAGAAATCTACAACTTGATTGTATAGACTAAATGACATCAAGATTTGTGCTTTTTTGTTCTGAATTGTCACAGATTCTTGACAAGACTGATTAAACTAAACCCAATTCACTCTAAGTGGTTAGAAAGTAACCAAAGTAAGGGAAAAGACAAAGAGATCCAATTAAAATACCAAAAAGTTTGATGATCCTTGTTGATATTAATTCAAAAAGAAGAAGAGTGTTGATTAATAAGTGAAATGGTGGACCCAAGATCTAATGGAATCAAACCTTTTTTGAAGCTTAATTAGCAAATGTAAAGACAGAGCTTAACTTTATTACAAGCTTTTTATGTTCTTTAAGATTCTCTTACCAGAAACAAATGGGTTTCCAAAGCCAGTAACAAGATCAGATCAAATGCAGGAAAAGAAAGCAAACAAGATTTGAATACAGAAAAAAAAAAAAACAGAGAATATGAGGAGTAACCTGGAACTTGAAGAAGACTTGACTCTGTGATTCAGGAGACGTGAGTGTTTGCAACAGATGGCAAAGACAGAGTTGACAAATATGAAGAGAGAAGGCTTGTAATTTACAATCTTTTTTCTTTCTTTTTTGAGAAGAATATAAAGATTAAAAAAATTTGTTTAAAAGGAGAAAGAGTGAAGTGGCTTTTGCCAAAGAGATAGGGGTGCACTCAACGAATGGCGCAAATTTGTTTTTCACTTTTTTTAATAATTTTATTTTGTGGGTAAACAGTTTTGTATCTTTTAGCAGATAAGGTGTCGTTGTGCCTCTCAACTTCAGTACTCATCATACATGTGGCTTTTTTAATATTATTTTTGCTGGAATTGTGCCTTTTTTAAGAAAAACAAACTGTATTTGTGTATCTTTGCTTTTGTATACTTCAATTATGATCCAACATTTGAAAGGACTTTGATTTTTTTATTTAAGATGCTGAACAAGGGTACATTATATTCAGTTATTCAGTACGGTTCAGTTCTGATTTATTTTTTAGTTTAAAGTTTTTTCGCATTTTTAAAAATTGATCTATTTTGAAATCAAATTGAGTTATGAAGTTTTGTAAACATATCGAACTTGATATTAAAGTATGCTTGATTGCATGATTAGTTGCGAAAGTAGATTAATTAGGCTGTTATGGCACTGTGAAAGTATGTCAATTTTAAATCAAAATGTTTCAAGTTCTAAAACTTGTCTAATCACTTTCTTTCATCATCGTGATTGTTTGTACACTTGCAGGAATATTTTGAGTTAAAACCTACACCCATCATCGATCAATGATCAATATATATGAAATACAAAATAGGTATAAGTAACATGTTCGAATATGACAGAACTTTACAGTCTCATGTAACGTGCACGATATCAATTTGAATACAACTATACTGAGAACTCCAACTATACTTAACAAAGATTACTATATTTTCTATTAGCATTATATAAACCGTCTTTGTCAAATTTATGTGAGCATGAACTTCTATCGCCGGTTGCATGAAATTGAAAAGTAGAAGCACAAACACAACACCAAAATCGAATATACAGTATAAACTCTACTCCCTCCGTTTCAAATTAGTTGTCGTTTTGGCAAAATGTATCTGCAAATATTTGGATGTATCTGGACGTGTTTTGCATTGCAGATATGTCCAAATATTTGCAGATACATTTTGCCAAAACGACAACTAATTTGAAATGGAGGGAGTATAAATTAATAAAGTTGGGACTTTGATATTTTATTAATTTATAGAGTTATTAAATTATCGATTTTGAATAAAATAGTTATTTTATTAAAAAAATAATTAAATTAAATTATTAAACTAAATTAAAATAAGAAATTCCAAAAGGTTTTATATTTTGTATAGGTTCATTCTAAAATTAGGGATGAATTCTAAATATATTTGAGTTTTAGTAGAAAAGAAGTGAAAGTTATACTTAATATATCATAGATATGTATTTACATAAATTTTTGTTTATGATAATTATTAATTTATGATATTAATAAGACTATATATTTACATAGGAGTTTCAAAAATATTATTATCTTATTATTTTATTGAATTTTGCTAATTTTTACATTGGCCCGACTTGGAACCTGAAAAATTATTGTTTTATAGAGTTTATTAATTTATCGAGTATCAATTTATAGAGTTTCTACTGTAGTTAAATACAAATGGAAAATTAAAAAGAAAATTGACAAACAAAAATGAAGAAAAATAATGGGAAAAAAAAAACAATAATGGATCATGCGAAGAAGAAAAAGAGAGAAACAGTAATCGTATTGTGGACCGGCCCGAGAATGACCCAAATCATGTCCATAATGAGCCCTTCAAGTAAAAACTCCAAATTACCAAATATCTCAACTTTCTCCGTTTGACCGATCTTACGAAATATTGAGAGATACCTCCAGAAAACACAAGTGCGAATAATATGGCGACCGAGGATGTGAACGAAGCCCTTACGGCGGCGGCGGAAGTACCGGCGACAGATGCGGCGGAGAAGCAACCTCACAAGCTCGAAAGAAAGTGGAGTTTCTGGTTCGATAACCAATCTAAGCAAAAGCAAGGCGCCGCTTGGGGTGCTTCCCTTCGTAAAGCCTACACCTTCGACACCGTCGAAGATTTCTGGGGGTTTGTCTTTTCTAGCTCCCTCCTTTGATTTAGGGTTTCGTATTGTTTGAGATTTGTTAGCGATTTTGTTTCGATCTGTGATTATCCGTACAATTAGATCTTCTTTTCCGTGAATGCCTTACCTAATTTCTTCAAAATCTGAGATTTTTTGTCTACTGTTAGCTATGAAATTTCTGTATTGTTCTAATCGATGATGCTCTGTTTGAAATCTGAATTTTGCAAATTTGTTAATTTCTTCTGGTGTATTGGACTTTTGGCAGATTGCACGAGACTGTGTTCAAGCCTAGCAGATTGAATGCGAATGGTGAAATGCACTTGTTCAAAGCTGGTGTTGAGCCAAAGTGGGAAGATCCAGAGTGTGCGGATGGTGGAAAGTGGACACATGTTGTTACCGGAGACAGGAAAAGCGCCATGGACAAGGCTTGGCTTGAAACTGTACAATATTCTAACCTTTTTTATATTTTTTTTACTGTTTTGTGTGTGTTAGTTTAAGCTGTGGTTTTTACTAGTTCTCTCTTTTGTAATATTGGCAGTTGATGGCTTTGATTGGAGAGCAATTTGATGAGGCAGATGAGATATGTGGTGTGGTTGCTAGTGTGCGGCCAATGTCAAAGCAGGACAAGCTCTCCTTGTGGACTAGGACGAAATCAAATGAAGCTGTTCTGGTAAGATGTTTGTTTTCTCACTGTGATCATTGATGCTTGTGTGCTTTTCATGATTATTATGATTTGTCTTCTTCTAGTTGTAGTCTGGTGCGATCTCTGAATTTTGTTTGGTTCTTTTTTTTTTTTTTTGCTTGCTGGTTGTGTACAAAGAGGTGTGATGATAAAACCATTTAGCTTAGTTAAATGTGTTGATTGCTTACTATGTAAAATTGCACATGTCGAAATGCGGACTGTTTAGAATGTGCTAACTCTCTGGACAGATAAGTCTTAATGATTCACATAGAACTAACTACTTGGTTTTATGCTTCACTTCTCAATCATCAGAAGGTAGTTAAATTTTTTGATTGCTTAGCTAAGTAAAACAGGAAAAGCCGAGACTGATTAACTTAGAACTGATCACTGGGGTTGGTGCTAAACTTAAAATCTGGTTAGCAGTGATTATCTTAGAGCTTTTTACCACCTTCTGATGATTAAGGTTCTCCTGTAAAACTGGTTTTGATTACCACTTGAGAGTGAAATTGTTGATAATTTGGTTTGTTATGTTGGTCCATTTTTTGCTTACTGGTGGTGTACAAAGATGTGTGCTCTTAGTTCAGTGTTAGTAAATAGTAACAGTTATCTTGCTTTGTTGTCTATCCATGGGAGTTTTATCTGCTTCTGATGATTGAGATACACCTACCACTTTGGATTATTAAAGTTATACTTGTTGCGAGTTGTTTGAAGATATATGTAGTATATGTCCTTGCCTCATATGTTTCTGATGAAATTTCTACTTGTTTGTCTGTTATTGTGCAGTATGTTAAGATTGGTTTATGAACTTATCTTGTAAAATTACTAAGTGTTGTTTGTTATTGTAAATCCAGATGGGTATTGGGAAGAAGTGGAAGGATATACTTGATATCACCGACAAGATTTCTTTCAACAACCACCATGTAAGTACTTCTCTAGATAGAAGCTAATCATCATTTTGTTCATGTTGAAACCCTCATGTGTCTGGCTTACTAAAACCGTGGTCTACTTGTATATATATGCAGGATGATTCTAGAACTAGAAATCGGTTCACTGTCTGAAGAGAAGAGATCAGTGTGTGAGACCTGAGGAAGATGCAATATGACTTTTTCTTGCATTGTTTGGTCGGTTTTACTCAAATAGTTAAGACCTTTAGGGACACTCACTTTGAGGTGTAACTCTACAAAGTTTTCTGTTTCATTAAAAAGAATGAGTTTTTAATATTAAGTTCAGTTATATAAATTTCTTTTGAAAGCATCAATTTTTGGGACACCCTTTTATTAGTAAGGGTTTTGATTTGTTCATATGCTATTTCTTTTTGTATTTTTGCTGGGGCATCAACCTCAACTTTCACAATTTCTCCCAACTCATTCATAAGTCACCTCTCGCTCTCAACTAACCGGCATTAAATATGTTTCTATGCTAGCAAAATTACACAACGATGCACCACCCTTAGACTAGTTACAAACTTACAATAGAACAAGAACACCTTACTAAATTCTAACAACTTTTTATTTTCTTTTTTGTTGGAAATGTGAACTTCTGACAACTTACTTCTATTCATCAATATCGAGCTAATTTTCATCTTTTATTTCTACTATGTCGAATTATCAAGATTCGGTTAGTGTCCAGACTAGAAGAGATAGAGAGAGTTTATTGGATTCGGCAGTTATATTGTTTATAGAGTTTAATTATACTAGAAGTTTGACCGGAGCGATGTGCGGGATAACACTAAACCAAATTTGAAAGTTGATTAATCTAATTTAACTATAAGTATTTCTATTTAATTTTTAAAATACTATTATTATACTAATGATCTACGATATTTGTTTTGATTTTATTTATGAAATTGTAAAAAAATAATGATTTTAACTATCAGTTTTTATCCATAATCCTAAATTTTATAAGTATAGTTAGAATATTATTTTATGATAAAGGAATTATCTTTACGATCCTTATCCGCTATAGTTCTATCATTTATACGTAATGTTCTTGCATATTTTTACATATAAGCAAATGAACAACATTTTATATATAAATTTTTAAATAAATTCAATGAATATTTAGTAATTTGTAAAATATTTATAATGAATGAATAGAAAATGGATTTAGGTTTCTTCTCGTTCTCTTCATAGTGAATTGACTCTAAAACAAATTCGACCGCAATTTTGGTCTTCCAGAAAGATAGATCTTCTAATAAATCTGAATGGATAAAATAGAAGAAATTAGGAGTTTCAAATTAGGAGTATATATAAAGGGTATTAATATTCTATCATCTATAATTATGGTGGAAGTTGTAAAGGCTACTTTACCATGAACACTAAAATAAAGGTTTTAAAGGTCGATTTGGGATTTTATGTCTGAGAACTGCAAAAGATAAATTTTAGAGGACACATGTTATCATTAGGAGTGTGAAAATGCTGACGTGTCAAGTTCCTGGAGAGAGTTATTCTTTTTATAGTATAAATTTTGTATATTTTGTTTTAAAACGTATGTACAAAAACTTTTATAGTCAATAATTATATATGTTATTTTTATTGATGATTTTTTTAATCTTAATAGTCAAAAAGTTTTAATGAATTCATGATAAAATACAACAACATTGAAGAGAACCAGTGTTGGGTACACATATAGCGTTATTAAAAGGTGGTTTGTTCACTCCACATCTATCGTAGCAATCTTCTTTCTTTCTACATGGTCCTCTGAAATCACAATCCGACGAATCATCCATTGTTCCTGTATTAACCACCACAAAAGAAAAACAGGTACATGTCATGTTATTATCCAAGTTATTATCTAAAGTTTCTTGTAAAATATTAAATACATATAATAATCATGTGTTCATACACATATATTATTGATAAAATATATGAAAATGAAGAACTTACGAGTGGATTGAGCATTAACAAAGAGAGAAGCGATAACGAGAAAAACAACAAAGTAAAACTTCGACGATGCCATCGTTTGATTAAATTTTGGACAATATGAAATTGATATAAATTCTATAACTCAGTGGTTACTTTATAGCTAAATTTTGAAATCACGTTGAATTAAGGTTTTATTGATTTGTTTCTATAACTCACACATATGGCTATTGACAAATAGCAAGACACTAATACAAAATATTAACATACAAGTCCTTATTAATAATTTTAATATTTTGTTCTATATATAGCCCACACTAAAATCTTATTAACCAAGTAATGGTTTCAAACTATAATATTTAATCAATTAAAAAATAATTATATAAGTAATTACTTATATAATTTACTACTTGTTGCTTGTTATTTTGCAGTATTGTAAGATTGGTTTATGAACTTATCTTATAAAATTACTTTTTTTTGTTATTGCAAACCCAGATGGGTATTGGGAAGTTGTGGAAGGAGATACTTGATATCACCGACAAGATTACTTTCAATAACCACCATGTAAGTACTTCTTTAGATAGAAGTTCATGTTTATCCTCTAATCTTGTTCATGTTTATCCTCTCATCTGGCTGGCTTACTAAAATCGTGGTCTATTTGTATATATGCAGGATGATTCTAGTTCTAGAACTAGAAATCGGTTCACTGTCTGAAGAGAAGAGATCAGTGTGTGAGACCTGAGGAAGATGCAATATGACTTTTTCTTCCATTGTTTGGTCGGTTTTACTCGAATAGCTGAGACCTTTAGGGACACTCACTTTGAGGTGTAACTCTACAAAGTTTTCTGTTTCATTAAAAAGAAAGAATTTTTAATATTAAGGTGATGATTGGTTCTCCCGCTACCACCCGCAAACGCAGCGTTTGCGGTTCGTAGCGGTTCTTAGCGTTTTATAACAATCACGACAACCGCTTTCAACCGCTCTATACCACTCTGTACCGCTCTATATCGCTGAAAATCAAAAGCTCCTTTCCGCAAGCGTTTGCGGTTGCGGGCGGTTGCGGTTTGAAAAAAAAAAAAAAAAAACATAATATCTCCAAATTTGGAATAAGGGTATATTTTTTTGAAAAATACCATAATTATGTTTAAAAATTTCGAAAATACCCTAAATTTTTTCTGTTTTGAAAAATACACTTTTAAAATGTAAAAAGTATGTTTTGACGTGATTTAAACAAAAAATAATAAATAATTACAAATTATAAACGAAAATTTAAAAAAATAATAAACTAATAAGTTTTTTTTCAAATAAATATAGTATATGTTAAACTGAAACAAATTTTAATATTTTGGATCTTTATATAAACAACTTAACCTCATACACATTCAAACCAAATGAAACTTTAAATAAATTAAAACTTTACATATATTTAAAGTTTATAAATTATTAAAAATTTAAAAGTGGAGAAATATATCTTTCATTTTTAATGTTTATCTTTTGAAAAATTTAAATATTTTTGAAACTTTGCATAAACAACTTTAATCTCACCCCATTTAAACTTTATATAAACAATCTTATATTTTTATTAAATTGTTTAAAAAAAACTAAACAGGTAATTAGGATGTTAAAATGATACAAAATTATTATCAAATATTAATATTTTATATTTCTTATTTGAATTTCGTTTTTATTAAATTAGGAATAATCATTTTACATATAAAAAGTGTATTTTTCAAAACCAAAAAAAAAGGGTAGTTTTCAAATTAAAAATTCATCAAAAAATATATTTCAAAAAAAAAATTATTAATATGGTTATAAATGTTTTGAATAATTATATATTATTTTTATTTTAGTAACTTTTGGTTAAACCGCTCTTGCACCCGCTGGCTAACCAGTCAAAAATATCCCGCAAACGCAACCGCTATGAATTGCTATACCAGTCGTACAAACAGCTTTTAATCGCAAACTCCCGCTTCCGCAAACTCCCGCAGCCGCAAACTCCCGCAACCGCAACCGCAGCGGTTAAACCAGTCAGACCCTAAGTTCGGTTATATAATTTTCTTCGGTTTTTTAAGTTATACTTATTCGTTATGAGCTGATGAGAGCCTACCTCTCATAAAATGGACCAAAACATGTTTGAAGAAGGACCAAACTACAGTATATCCAATAAGAGATAACTCAAACATCTCACAAAAACGTACAATTAAGGTTGGCAGCTGCATGATGACTCACATCAGAAGCAAATTGAGAACCATTATCTTGATTCTCAGATTACAGAGATCAATCTATGGTCCATGTCGGTGCTTGCCAACAAAATGTTTGTTGTAGATCGAAATTTGAGAGGAGAAGGAAGAAAGGTGAAAAAGTTACGTTTTTACTTGTTTGCTAAATTCGGTTTGATTAAAGAACTCACAGAAAATACTTGCTTACCAAGATAAACGTCCAAGGCTCGACCAAAGCCAAAACCAAGATCCTAGACCGATCCCAAAAGCAAAATCATATATCTAAGTCACCTCTCACCTCTCGCTCTCAACTAAACCGGCATAAAATATGTTGCTATGATAGCAAAAGTACAAAACAATGCACCACCCTTAGACTAGTACCAATAGAACAAGAACACCTTACTAACTTCTGACAACTTTTTCTTCTTTTTTTTTAGTTGCGAATGTGAACTTCCAACAACTTACTTCTATTTGTCAATATCGAGCAAAATTTCTTCTTCTCTTTCTACTCTGTCAAATTACAACCCATGTGTGAAGATTCGATTAGTGTCCAGACTCGGGCTTGAGAAGAGATAGATAGAGTTTCATGGATTCAGTTATATGTTTCTATAGGTGAATTTATATATTTTGTTTTAAGACGAACGTACATAAACTTTTATAATCAACAATTAAATAGATTGCTTTTATTGATTTTTTTTTTATCTCAATAGTAAACAAAATTCTAAAGAACTCACGATTTAATACAACAACATTCAAGATAAAATGGGTTAGGTACACATATAGCGGTATTGAAAGGTGGTTTGTTTACTCCACATCTATCATAACAATCTTCTTTTTTATTACATAATCCTTTAAAATCACACTCCGACAAATCATCAATTGTTCCTGTATTAACCATAACCACCACAAAAGAAAAATATATGTATTTGTTGAGTTATTATCTAAAGTTTCTTGTAAAATATTAGATACATATAATAATCACGTGTCCATACACATGTATTATTGATAAATAGATGAAAATGAAGAACTTACGAGTGGATTGAGCATTAACAAAGAGGGAAGCGATAACGAGAAGAGCAACAAAGTAAAACTTAGACGATGCCATTTTTGGACAATACAAAAAGTGATATAAGTTCTTTGTCACAACGTGAATTATCTATAACTCTGTAATTAATTTATAGCTAAATTTTGGAAAAAAACATTAAATAATATTACGTTTTAAATTTTAAAATAACATCAGTACGTTACGTTGACTTAAGGTTTTATTGATTTGTTTCTATAACTCACACATATACATATATGATTAATGACCAATATCAAGACACTAATACAAGTCCACATTAATAATTTTAATATTTTTTCTATAACGCACACATATTAGTATTTAATTTGTTTGAACAATTAATTTTAATATTTTTTCTATATTAGTCTACATTAAAATATTATGAGCAAATTAATAGATATCAAAATATATTATTAAAATAATTTTAAATTTTATTGAAAGATTAGTATCTTTTAATTTTGTTTAAAAGATAATAAACTTTGCTTGATATCTTTTAAAATAAAACTATTTTGTTCAATAACATTTAAAATAATTTAATGATATATATTTGATATCCACTAATTAGTTAATAATATTTTAATGTGGACTGATATAGAACAAAATATTAAAATTATTAATTCAAACAAATACTAATATGTGTGAGTTATAGAAAAATATTAAAATTATTAATGTGGACTTGTATGTTAATATTTTGTATCAGTGTCTTGCTATTTGTCATTATAGTCATATGTGTGAGATATTAGAAACAAATCAAATTAATAAAACCTTCATTTAACGTACTGATGTTATTTTAAAATTTAAAAGGTAGTATCATTTCAAGTACTTGTTTTCAAAATTTAGCTATAAAGTAACCACTGAGTTATAGGTTATTCATGTTGTGACAAAGAATTTATATCAGTTTCATATTGTCCAAAAATTAATCAAACGATGGCATCATCGAAGTTTTACTTTGTTGCTCTTCTCATTATGGCTTCTCTCTTTGTTAATACTGAATCCACTCGTAAGTTCTTCATTTTGATCTATTTATCAGTAATATATGTGTATGGAGACGTGATTATTATATGTATCTAATATTTTACAAGAAACTTTAGATAATAACTCAACAAATACATATATTTTTCTTTTGTGGTGGTTATGGTTAATACAGGATCAATAGATGAACCGTCGACGGACTGTGATTTTAGAGGACCATGTAGCAAAAAAGAAGATTGTTATGATAGATGTGGAGTAAACAAACACCCTTTCAATACCGCTTTATGTGTGCCTAACTCATTTTCTCATTATTGTTGTTGTATTTCATCGTGAATTCTTTAGAATTATGTTTACTATGGAGATTAAAAAAAAACAATAAAAATAACATATTTTATTGTTGATTATAAAAGTTTATGTACGTTCATCTCAAAACAAAATATATAAAGTAACCTATAGAAACATATAACTGAATCCATGAAACTCTATCTATCTCTTCTCAAGCCCGAGTCTGGACACTAATCGAATCTTCACACATGGGTTGTAATTTGACAGAGTAGAAAGAGAAGAAGAATTTTTGCTCGATATTGACAAATGGAAGTAAGTTGTCGGAAGTTCACATTCGCAACTAAAAAAAAGAAGAAAGAGTTGTCAGAAGTTAGTAAGGTGTTCTTGTTCTATTGTAACAAGGGTGGTGCATTGTTCTTGTACTTTTGCTAGCATAGCAACAGATTTTATGCCGGATAGTTGAGAGCGAGAGGTGAGAGGTGACTTAGATGGATGAGTTGGTCTAGGATCTTGGTTTTGGCTCTGGTCGAGCCTTGGACGTTTATCTTGGTAATAAAGTATTTTCTATGAGTTCTTTAATCAAATCGGATTTAGCAAACAAGTAAAAACTTAACTCTTTCACCTTTCTTCCTTCTCCTCTCAAATTTCCATCTACAAGAAACATTTTTTTGGCAAGTACCGACATGGACCATAGATTGATCTCTGTAATCTGAGAATCGAGATCACGGTTCTCAATTTGCATCCGATGTGAGTCATCATGCACTTGCCAACCTTAATTGTATGTTTTTGTGAGATGTTTGAGTTATCTCTTATGTGATATACTGTAGTTTTATATTAGCATAATATAATACTAAATTTTAATAATATATGACCATTTTGTGAAAGATAATATCACCTTTAAAAACCTTTAGTCACATAAGTAATGGTTAATTTGATTAAATATTTTACTAATAATTTTTCCTAGTACAAGGTATTATATTCAAAACTTTATATGATCGAAGCATTTGTTTCAATTAACAATCTTAATATTTTGTTCTATATATAGCCCACACTAAAATCTTATTAACTAAGTAATAGCTTCAAACTATAATATTTAATAACTTTAAAATTTTAGTGACATAAGTAATTACTTATATGATTTACTATTGTATTGATGTTAAATGAGCAAGGTTGATGCATACTATCTCTAAAATGCATATTGCTTGTTTTAGGTTTGAACTATAATATGGAGACATCTTTGAGAGTTTTCTATTTATCTAGAGTGTCCACATCAACAACATTTTTCCTATTAATGGATCCAGTGTTTTTTTTTAATAACTCAGGGTAAATAATGGACCCAGTGTTAGGTAAATTTTATGAGTTGATAATGTACATAATTGTCTCTGTTTAACTTTGTAATCAAATATGAACACCACAAAAAAGAAAGCATGTACAAAGGTTGTAACCTTAATGTAAGTGTAATGATACTTTTCATATGGCATTACAAAAAATATGATAGTACAAGTTATATTTTTACTCAGTTTCCATACGAATATGATCTTGTTTCCGACTCCACGTCTCCAACATATATAGTCAACTAGCTTATGGAGGGGATGTTTGCACAAAAAAAAAAAAAAAAAAAAAGCTTATGGAGGGGATGTGCAGCAATAGTTCGAATTACTTTATATAGGTAAATTGGATATAAAATAATATAATATTTTTATTTATTAATAAACCACAAATCTGGTCCTAGGTGTCTAGTTACTAAAAAAACAATTGAAAAAGAAAAGATACATATGTTTATCAATCACCAACCCTAATCATTCGAACAGATGAAGGCATTTTACGGTATGTGAGGAGCCTCGTCATCAATAACAATTTCAGAAAGGGCCTCTTTAGCATGTTCCTCTTTGCTTAATTTATCGATATTGTAACCCATTATCGGTAAATACAAAAGAACAGATACTGTACCCAGAACCAAAGCCAAGACCGGCGAAATTAGGTTATAGACGACGACGGAGGCTGTTAAAAGCTGTGTTCTAAAAGTCGGCCGAGTTGCCGAGTACTCGGTCCTAAAACCGCCAGAAGGAGGTTGCCGTTCCGACTTTTTAAAAACCGAGTAAAGATATGGTCAACCGTTGACCGTACTTTGACATTCACATTTTTATAAAAACCAGTAAGTAAATGTTAAAATCTAGTGGGCTAAAGTTTGATTTTTGTTCACAATTAGCCCCAATTCGCCCAAAGTGTGTAAAGCACTTTTCATTCAACATGAAACCTTAAAAATGTAGTATATGACTTTTATATTGATGTATTATATATAAAAAAAGAATGTTATTTGGTAATAATGTAGTATATGATTTTCATGTTGATGTATTATATATAAAAAATTAAAAATGTTGGAAATATATAAAAATGTACTTAAAATTAATTTCCGAGTACTCTCCGATTTATTTCCGACTTTTAAGAAAATCGCTAGAAGGAGACGGAGCGCCCTAGTACCGCCTAACGAGTTTTAGAACACAGGTTCAAAGTCCAAACAGTTGGACCACGCATCTAATTACTATACTACGAGGCGCCGATGATGCCTTTTCGTAGACGATAAGAAAAAAGATGACTACGATGAGTTCATAACAGATTATGATATGAATATGGTAATGTGCAAACAATACAAGGTTGGCTCCCAAGATCATCTCATACATTATTCGACCAAACTCCTCCGATTCCCACCTGCATCCACATGTTATAAAATTCCACTTTTTCAATACGTTAGACTATTTCTTAAATTTTTGTTGAAAAAAACAAAGCTTTTCACATTACCAATGGATCTCCGATATATTTTCTGCATGATTATCATCAAGTAAAACTTCAGTGTCGTCTAAGCCTGTTTTGGAATCAGCTACGTTGTTGTCCGTTTTCATTGGTCGACGACAAACTCCACAAAGAGATAGAAGTACAACAACCGGGAAATATAGGAAGAACAATATGCCGATATATCGAACGAGTGGTTCATGATTCCAGCCATATATGAAAGTGAGGATAGTATAACCTCCAATCGCATGGCTGATGCGTCCTGATACCATGCAAAGTCCCCATATCCAGTTTCTATCATTTGTTGATCGACATGCGAGAAAGAGTTCACATATCCCGAAGCCAAAGTAGGAGAGGAAGAGTGGTGATAGTATGTATTCGAAAGCTGTATGGTTATATATTTGCACTGCCATAATAAACCCTATGAGCAGCTCATGCATGCTTTGAGAATAGTTGCCTGATTCCCACCTAACAAAAAAAAATTGGATTGTATACTCTAAAATTACTCATGGGTTTAATCAATTTTATTAATTCTATTAAATAAATATAACAAAAGCTCTCGTACCATGGATAACTCTTTTTGATAAACCCGTACCATGGAACCCATTCGGGTGGGATGTTTTCATTAGCATCCATCTCTACTTTTTTTCCCTCTTTCCTTGTTTCTTTTTAATTTGTTTGCTTAGTGAAAGAAGAACCGCACCTGCTTCCTGCATATTTATAGAGTATCATCTTCAACTAGTCTAGTTTTCTTTAAAAAAAATGATAAACGCGCAATTTCTTAAAACACGCTTTCAAAAACCATTGGTAAAAGATTTGATGAAAGGAATCTGGAACATTTCATGAATATTTTCTATATAAGTACATAATAAAATCTGGTAAAAACTAAATTTATATTTTAACAAATTAACTTCTCAGAATTTGTATTTCTGTTTTTCTTAACAAGTGTATATTTCTTGGAATGAATTTCTCATATTTATAAGATATAATTGTCTAGTCTAGTTTTCTTTTCCTTACTGTTTAAGAAAATAATAGGGTGTATTTTCATTAGACACATATTTTTTCTTTTGTTTCATAAAGAAATAATACAATCAATAATTATTTTTCTTCTTTGAAAAAGATCTAATCAAAAGTTTCTAATAATCTTACGAATATTTCTATATACATAGTATAATCTGAAAAAAATTAAAATTATTATTTCAGTAAATTCATTTTTCATATTCTGAAAGATGTTTTGAAATTTTCAAAAATCTTTTCTCAAATGAGAGACTTTGAATTTTGCTGTATTCTTTTAAATTTTGTACGTGACACAAGTCTCTCATTTTAAAATTTTCTCCTCAGGTGTATACGTAATTTCAGCATATTCTGTGTTATAGTCATAGAAGTTAGAACCAATGCTAGGTTTGCGTGAGTTTCGATATAAGTGCTATGTTCATCCCTCATAGTCGTATTCCGTCTCTTGTCGTCGTTCGATTCAATTTAATTAAATTAACTACACAGTAGAAGAGACTTGATTAACGACATAAATCTACAAGGCTCACCGAATGCCTAAATCAATATCCTATTCCTAAACCAACCCAAAATGTCCCACTCATTCATCTAAGCACTCTCCTTTAAACCACCAGATCTCAACTAACGAGAAAAACTTATGTTTCTAAGCTAGCAAAGATACACAACCATGCACCACGCCCTTAGGCTAGTTACAAACTTACAATAGTACAGTAGTACTCCACTAGATTCAACAAGAACACCTTTATCACATCATACAACGTTAACTTACGCAGTTACGCATGTTTATCTATATTAAGCGCATGCATTACCCCTATGATTCGTACGTTGATGTGGTGTGGTTTTTTCACCCCAAAGTTTTACACAAAATTAATATTTTCCAATAATCAACTGCGTATGCACAATATACAATTTTCTTTAGGGATTGAATCCACATAGACCAAATGCACACTTCAGTGTTATGAAATTATCGATTAGGCTGTGACGAATGTAAATATATAAAATCTCTAAATTAAGGGCCTGATTGGTTGTGGCTGTAGCTTTAATTTTTTTGCTGTAGAATTAATGATGTAGAAATTTTGGCTGTGATTCTAGATTTTAGTGCTGTAAGATTTTTTATTATAGATTGTGTCATTAAATATAACATTAAAACAAAAAAGTTAAGATATAGAAATAATAGATTAAAAAATAAATGTTGAAAGATTAATAAGGAAAGAGAAGAGAGAAAATTCTAAGAGCACTTAATTTGGTGCTCTAGAAAAATTGCTTTCCAAAGCCACGGAACTTTCATAAATAAATAAAATTGCTCTGTGTTTCAAAAATGGAAAGAGATAAAATGAGAGCTTGATTGGTAATTTGGTATTACTGTAGAGAGATTTAGGGCTGTGCAGAGCAACCAGCCCCTACCAATCATCCCCTAAAGCGTTGGTCCAAATTAATGAATAAAAAAGTCATTTAAGTCGTATCAAAGGGTAAATCGGGGAAAACACCATTAATTCTCCTTCGGCATTTTCTTCTGTCTTGGACATAAAGTTTGATTTGATTTTAATTCGTTCCTTTTGTTATACACAAAAAAATAGAAAAAAAACCAGAAACTCCGATTCAGAGAGATTTAAGAAGATGAGTAGAGGAAGCGGCGGAGGCTATGATCGTCACATCACTATCTTCTCACCGGAAGGTCGTCTCTTTCAAGTTGGTCAGTACACTGCTCCGATCTACCGCAAAATCAATTTTACAGCTCTTTTCTAGCTGTTTTCAATACTGAATCACTGATACATTGCTTTGACCAGAATATGCTTTCAAGGCCGTGAAAACTGCTGGTATCACTTCAATCGGTGTGCGAGGAAAGGATTCGGTTTGCGTCGTTACTCAGAAGAAAGTTCCGGTTAGTCCCTTTTTTCTAGGGTTTTTGTGTCTTCCTCTTCTAATTGAGCGATGCTTTTATCTTTTCAATTCGAATTTGGGTTTTTGATGGGTTTTATCGAATTAGTGTGAATCATTGTATCAATTTTTCTTTTCGAATTTTTGTTTTTTCACAGGACAAGCTTTTAGATCAATCTAGCGTTACGCATCTTTTCCAAATCACCAAGTACATTGGATTGTTAGCCACTGGCATTACAGGTGTGTATCCTGAATCTTTAGTAAGCTGTAGAGTTTATGATTCACTTCAAAGTTTCTTCAAAGCTTTGTGCGTATTGCTTTGGATAGTAATTTGGAAAATGTGTATTTCAGCTGATGCAAGGTCATTGGTCCAACAAGCAAGGAATGAAGCAGCTGAGTTTCGCTTCACTTACGGATACGAGATGCCTGTGGACATTCTTGCTAAATGGTATAGTTGCTAATTGATATTAATAAGGTTGATTCTTAGCATATTTTGTTAGTGGAGGCTGGTTTATAGTCTATCTGGCTATCTTCTGATATAGTGTTGCTAATAAATTAACTATCTTGCTTCTCAGGATCGCTGACAAGTCACAGGTCTACACTCAACATGCTTACATGAGACCTCTTGGAGTTGGTAAGTCTGCTATCTCTTTCTTTTCTTAAGAGTTAAGGCCAATGCCTTCACGTTTTGATGAACTTTATTAGTTGACAAAAAGGATTGTTCTTGGTTTTTCTTTTTCTGTGAAGTTGCTATGGTCTTGGGCTTTGATGAAGAGAATGGTCCTTTACTTTACAAGTGTGACCCAGCTGGACATTTTTACGGTCACAAGGTATCACCACTCTTACTTTCACTAAGCTCTTTCTACTGTTACGCTTACTGTTTTGACTGGTTTTGCTGGCTGCTTCAAGATTTGTTGATAAGATCTCTGAATATCATTTTCTTACAAGCAAATAGTTACATATACTACTTAGTGCTTGTGATTAACATTGAAGAAAATGCCTCAGGCTGTAAATCTTTGTGATAAACATAAACAAATTTAATATAAATGGGAGTGGGTTGGGTCAGTTGGGAGGCCTTGGTCATTTGGGCTGTTTGTGCTAGAGTATACTTTGGGACTCTATAACAAAACCCTCGCTATCATTTTTGTTCTTTATATCTGATTTCTCCTTGGTTCATCGGTTTACTTGTTCTGCATCAAAGATTTCTAGTAAAGATCTCAGGAAACCTTTTCAAATCTGTCTCTCATTCGCTGATCATTAACTCTTTGCAGAAAATGTATACTGTCATTCGCAACTAAATCTTGTGTATTTAAGTTTCTAAGCATGGTGATCATTTGTACTTTTAGTTACTGGTGAAGTGTCACGTTTTTTGTATCTAGGTTACACCTGAGCCTTGTGGGCCATGTGACCAAGATCTCTAGAGAATATACACATCTCTTTCAAAATTCTTTTCATGTCAAAGTTCCATGGAATCTGATAAGCAGCTAATAAATATGCAAATATTTTTCTATGCAGGCAACTGGTGCTGGTATGAAGGAACAAGAAGCAGTCAATTTCTTGGAGAAGAAGATGAAAGAAAACCCATCTTTCACGTATGATGAAACAGTGCAGGTAATTATTTGCATTAACTTTCATTTTTTTGCCTGTTAAATGTTCATCTGCCGAGTGATCACTTGTGCTGTTCCGTCGTAGATACATAAGGCTACAGTATAGGAAGTGGAACATACAAATCTATTACTATTATAGATGCAAAGTACCAAATGCATATTGTTCCTCACTTTGAGCTTTTTATACTTTTGTAGACTGCTATATCCGCTCTGCAATCTGTTCTTCAAGAAGACTTCAAGGCCACTGAGATTGAGGTATACAAAACTCTTTTTTCTATCAGCAAGGCATGTATTTTTCGATTTGCAATACTCATTGATTCATTTGTGATTGATATGTTTTATCAAACCGGTTGCTGGAATGATAGGTTGGAGTGGTGAGAGCTGAGAACCCGTTATTCCGTGCATTGACAACGGAGGAGATTGAGGAGCATTTGACAGCCATTAGTGAACGAGACTGATCGATTTAGCTGAGTCATGTTGGTTGCTTTGCTTTGTTTTACTTTCTCAGACATTCCACCAATTTGATCACTCGAATAGTACTTATTCTGTACCCAAAACACAAATTACTGTTTACTATATGACATGAGTTTGGTATCAAACGACATTCATATGGTGTCTCTTGTTTAGTATTGTTGGCAGAGCTAATTGGCATATCGACAAGCATTTCATGCAATATTTTGAGTCTTAAACTAAGCAGTTTACGATTCTTTCTGCAATTCGATTGACATCCGTCATTTTCTGCCTTCTCAAAAAGCCTTGCAAATTTTTAGAAAACGGACCAGAAAGTTGCAATTTCACTTGATATAATCTACCTAAAATCATACTCATTTATTTAAATGATAATTAGGGGAGCCTAATCCTCAAATTGGGACATTCCCGGAACTTCAAATTTCGACTACTTTCTTCTTCTGATCATGTCGCCTTCACATCTTAAACGTTTTTTGACTACTTGGTTGTTTCTGAGTCACACCGCTCCAACACTATATGTAACATCCCGACAAAAACGATATGGGTTTCGTGTCATGCACAACTACAGTCGTAATGATTGTCATATAGGTTCGTGTCATGCACCACTACAGTCATAATCATTGTCATTTTGGGTAGGACTTTATCAAATTCCAACTATACTAAACGTGTATGATGTAAGCTTTTATACGAATAAAAAACGTAAATAGGAGAGAAGTGATCTATAACGCGTCTTTCAACAACTTCTTGTTTCAACGTTTATAGCAAAAACAAAACATTATGTTCGATGCTTTTGCTTTGATTGGACTGGATCAAACAAAAAAGAAAGAAAAAAATCAACTTAATCCCCCACGAAAAAGACCCCTCTAAACAAAACCTATTCTATAATTTTTTTTGGGTTTTTACTGCCAAAATGTATTATTTACATCTTATGTAAAAACAAGAAATCAAATTAACGAATCCACAAAAGACAAACTCAGTACCGTTCCCCTCCGGCCTCGTTACGCATTGGTGAATTCAATCCGTTTCTCAAAGTTAACCGGTGGTTTCGTGCCGTATGCGCCTGTGACCGGACCTTATGATCACTCTTATGAACGTTACGAGGCTTGTCGCAATTTTGAACACTCTTGTCTTTAACGTCAGGGCTTGGCTTAGTTGGAAACGGAGAGACCGTGTACGTGAACGTCCCAATGGGAATATCACCATTGCAATCTTTAATATCTTGAAGAACCGAGACAACGTTGTTGATGCATGGCCTGTTCTTTGGTCGGTAGCTTAGGCATTGGTAAGCCAAAGTCGCGGCCTTTCGTGCTCCGGTCTCTGAGTACTGATCTTCAAGCCTAGGGTCCATTATTCTCCCGAGCTTACGTGCGTCATTGAGCATAGGACGAGCCCAGTCGACTAGGTTTTGTTCCCTTGAGGTTCTCTTTTTGTCCACCGATCTTCGACCTGTTAACAGCTCAAGCAACACTACCCCAAAGCTGTACACGTCGCTCTTTGCCGTTAGATGTCCTGTCATTATGTACTCTGGCGCTGCGTACCCTTGCGTGCCCATCACGCGAGTGGACACGTGTGTTTCGTCGCCTTCTGGTCCATCTTTTGCTAGGCCAAAGTCGGATAGTTTTGCTGTATAATCCTGAAACAAGATTAAGTGAAAGATCAATCCTCCATAATGTGAACTGACTAAAAAAACAAATTTGTTTGCATTTTGTTTTTGTTTTTGTTTTTTTTTGTTAACATAAAATTTACGTACTTTTAACTTGAGATTGGACCATATCTCTTATATATCATTCAAATTTTCATCTTACTATTTATGTTGGATGTTCCTAACACAAACCCTTAATTAAAGATAGATCAAGAACAAGAATTTTGAGACGACTTGGTTTGCTTACCGCATCTAACAAGATATTGGAGGCTTTGAAATCGCGATAGATGACTGGTTTCTCGGCTTCATGGAGAAACTGGAGACCCTTTGCAGCTCCATGAGCGATCTTCATCCTTGTTAACCACGGTAGCGATATGGAACATCCTGAAAATAAACCATTTTCATCATTTTAGGGTATTTCTCAAATAAGAAACCAAATCATTTGATGTTATAGAATAAAGAGTCAACTCACTTCTGAATAGTTGAGACTCTAAACTTCCACGAGGCATGAACTCATAAACAAGAAGTCTATGTTCTTCCTCGCAGCAATAACCGATCAGCTTCACAAGATTCGGATGCTTTAATTTCCCAAGAAATATAACCTCCGTCTGAAAAACATTTACCTCAAAGATTAGACGTTTTAAGACTCAATATTTTTGTAATAAGAGGATTATATAGGAATATTATGTAACGGACCAGCCACTCTCGGTGACCTTGGAGGCCATCAAGATCAAGAAGTTTAACAGCGACAGGCTGTGCCTTAAGACCAGGACGTAGCTTGTCGTCGACGAACCCTTTGTGAACCGGACCGAACCCTCCTTCGCCGAGGAAGTTGCTGGAAGAAAAGCTCTGTGTTATGACTTTGAGCTCCGACTGTGAAAACACATGGAGATCCGAGCCGGCGAGAGAGATTGAGAGATCTTCGGACAAGGTCGTGGAGCTTGGATTGCTTATGTCAAGAATCGACAATCCAAGAAACGATTTCTGTTTGGTGATCACACCATTACCATCATCTTTTTTTGCCTTTTTTGATGAATATAAGTTTTCTGGATCCAAGAAACACGCAACCATTAATGATTTCCAAGATAGTTTCTTCTTCACCGCCATTGCTTTGGTGATTTTGTTTCTCTTTGTTGTTTTCTTTTCTCTCTTTTTCTAATGGTTTTGGTTTTCAATGGGAAGAAAAAAGAGATTTTAAAGTAGAAGAAGGGAGAGACTTGGACTTTTATATTATTTTCAAATTCTTATATATCAACAACTACAAAGTTTCTTTCTTCATGAACATTTCTTACCAAAAAGGCAATAACGAGTGTTTTTCTATTGTTTTCTAATATGAAAATAATATAGTTTTATAAGAGAGAAAGAGGGCGACGACTTCTTGAGGTGTGGGTTTATACTTCTTTATAAAGCTTTTAACAGCGTCTGACATTGTCATTTAATTCATATTTAGACGAGTAAGTTCATAGTCGTTAGTGGGTGGCCAAAGGGAGAAGAAAGTGACATATTTACCCTTTCTCATATGGTGGAATTCTAAATACAAATTAGATGTTTTAGGTGTCACAAGCAAAAAATAGATGATATACCTTTTCAAGCAATGATAGTTAGTTAATATATTCATTATACCTTTTCATGCAATGATAGTTAGTTACTAGATTCAATAATTGTTTTTTTTTATAAACAGTCGGATTGAAAAAAACATACGAGTTGAAATGTTAGCGGCCGGAGAAGCTATTACCATTAAAGAAAAAAAAAAGACTCCGGGGGCTCTCATCTCCCTTCTCTCTAAACCTAAAAGCCTTCATGGTATTTTTTTTTGAACCGGCTCTGTCGGCTTTTAGGTTTAGAGAGAAGGGAGGGCTTTGTGGTTTTAGGCTTTTAGCTTTGTTTCTACGTTGTAACTTTAGTTTTCTAATACTTTCATCTTTTGATTTTGTCTTGAGTGGAAATCTTGTTAAACGCCGGCTTGATCTTTGGGGAAGTTATCGACTTCCGCATTTGAATAACTAGAAATCTAGTAGTGAATAGCTACCTATCTATGGCACTAAAAAGAAAAATACAATGTTTCAAAGGAGTTATATTTTATGTTTCTTATATGTATGTTGTATTCAAGTACATATCGACAAATATTTAATAGAGTTGTTTGAGTTGGATTTTGGAACCTTTGGACAGTTGAGTTTGATATTTGGTAATAAATTCGTTTGTTTAGAATAAACCGGCGAGCATAGGGTGTGAGACCCGCCTACTGAGAAACCAACCTATGCTACGTCCCAAAGAAAAGCTCATTGTGGATGTTTTTCAGTGGGATACGCATTGTTGAGCCTAATTATCAATATGATCATGGTCAAGACAATCTCGGAAGGTAGAAATGGTGTATCACCCCGAAGACTGCCTGACAGTGTGTCCAAGATTTACTAAGAAGATGCAAACACATTTCATCAATGAAACTTAAAAACATTCTAGAAGAAATGGACTTGCTTTTCTCTAAGAAAAATAGCAACTAGCTAGCGCAATGGTATTGTTAAAATAAAAAAAAAATGGGAAAAAGTCTCAGTAATTTTGATTTAATAAAAAGGTTGTTTGGTAGAAAAGCAATATACGAGTGAGTCAAGCTTCTAGAACACTTGATAAGATATTATAAAAATTATGGCATGTCATCATTTTATATTAGGAAATAAAAGTATGAAAGCGACTTGACACCGCGTTGGCGAAGAAGGCGACTTGTTCATGTCCAAACATAACTTTGAAGATTTGCTCTCTTTAAGTCTGAGTTGACATTTTCTTTGGTCTTGCACAAACTGACGCTACTTCCTTTAGAACCTTGTGAATCAAAGCGACTTTTAACTAGTGATCTTAGATTTCTGAAAATAATATAAATGACATCACTACCTTCCTTTATGAAGATATATTTATACCACCATTTCCCTAATCTCTTAGGGACTGGTTTTCTATTTTCAAATATTAAAAAATGATAGTTTCATCACTATTCTCTTTTATTGAGAGATTTTTAGTTTTATACTAGCAAAATGATAATTTCGTCACTATGATCATGTTCTGCGTTTAGGTTTCACCAAGGTTGCTTTAAAATCTGATTTCCTTTGAGTGACTAAAGCTATGTCATCAGTTGCAGCTCTGTCAACACATTTCATCAAATCTTGTTTGGTTTGGTTGCAAAAAAACACAATGAAGCTGGTAACAAAGCAAGATTAAAAAACTCTCACAGTACATAAACTACAAAAAAGGACATGTTCTAAATCAAAACAATTCTAGTTTTGAACTAAAAGCATCCATCTTCTCTGGCTATTGAGCTCACAAGGGACTCACATGAGCAGTCTCGTCTAAGAAGAGGCACCCAAACACATAATTAAAGAAATCTCTCCCTTTAATAATACCTTTTCCATCTAATGTTTCCATGTCATATGTGCAAGCCCTCATGCAATCAGGACAGTATGTAACCTGTGTAGCATAGGGACAATCATGAATTAGAGAGAACTTGCAGTTTCTTGAATTTTCTTTGTTTATGACAAAGGAAAACGCGGTTTTTAGCGACAAACCTCCAAGATTTTTGGTTGGAAAGAGCTATCCAGCATTATATCTACTCCGTAAATGGCCCTGGATTTAGGTGATTGCATCTCCGGATGCACAAGAACCGCCGCCTCAAACACCTGCCGAATCAACTTCTTCACCTTCTCATGGATATCCAGCCATTTAACTATTGAGAGTAGAATTGTGTTAATGGTTTTAAAAGATTTATACGGAGGAAAGAAACTCAAAGGTGTAGTGTATACCGTTATGTTCTTGTTCAAACTCCTTCACAAACTCTGCCGTGGGCTTGTGAGTCAACTTACGACCACCATAGTTCTGAAACGCATAAGAGAACCAACATGGAGAAAGGGAAAACATGAGTTGTTGTTATAGCAGATTGCAATCTTTCTCAGAACTGAATCATTTATGTGGACAGTGTTCTTAAGATATACCATGACAGTGAAGTGAGTTTCATATTCAAAGAAACTGTGCTTCTCCAATGAATATGGATTGTTAGACAACCTCACCTGAAGATCAAACAAGTAGGATATGAGTACATAATCGCTTGTATCGGCTGCTATGAAGGATTAAGCTAAGAGTACATACCCAAAAAATCTCTGTCAGGTAAATCTCCAGTGGGTCAATGCTACGCAGAAGGACAATGTACCGCAGATCAAACTTCTTCCCCTTGAACAAAGCAGGGTGCTCTATGTACTTCTGGCAGATCTTGGGACCAGTTTCCATCATACGGATGATAGCAGATAAATTATCGGTTATACTTGTGTCGATTGTCCGCGCCATATTCCACGGTTTCAAGATCCACAAGTTGTTTGAATTATCACGTTTGCGTACACAATAGTCCCCAATAAACTGAGTCAACTGTGTTTCAAGATTGTAAGTAGGTTGTAACCATTCTGGAGTTCCATAAGCCTGTATAGTAAAACATAGATGTTTGATAAAACAAGTGTAGTAATGGTGCTATGATAAGATTATGATGGTATAATTTACTAAATTTTTATACCTTTTGGATAGTCTCTGCAAGATGATGCTTCATAACAAGACAAGCCTCAAAGGGAAACTGATTGATGTACTGGTCATCTGTTAAACCCACTACTTTTTTCAGCTCCTCGTCCACCTGCATACCCGTCCATATAATGTCTGCATCTTTTGGTTCATTTGCTGCAACAGGCAGGTGACAGTGACACAAGTCAGAAAACAACAAATATTTCTCTTAAGTTTTCCAATTTTATAACTGAATTTACTCCACAGTCCAAGTTCCAAGTCGCATTGCTGAGTATATCTATCCCCAATGAGAGCTAGGAATATATCATGAAGAAATTGACCAAATCACTTACTGAGTACAAATTCTGGACGTGTCAGAAATTCTTCAACTTGAGGTAGATCCGTGTGTACTAGCAAAGGAGACCCATCGCTATGGCGAATGCTTCGGGAAACTGAAGGCTTCCGAGGTAAAGACTCGAAAGCTTTTGTCTGCTGCTTTTGTTGGAATTTCTCGAACTCCTACGACATCAACAAGAAAGAATCTGTTAATGAATGGAAATCTTCGTAGGATATCTGTTGATGAACAAAGGGGTCACAGCGAAAGTACATGAATAAAATAGTTCTCAGGAGTGTGAAACCAGGCTGTGAGCCTGGCAGACCGCTGCTTGTCCTCACCAATACCAGATAGAAAATCACGGGTGCACTCATCACCTTTCCGAGTATCTTTGATAGGCCACATTATTGAATAGCTGGAACATCGAAAACCAAATAAACATATAGGTATATGTCAGATACACGAAAAGTAACATTGTCGAAAGTATTTGTGTACATGATGTATGAGACCTGAAAAGGAAAAACTGGAAATTTTTAACGTGGCGCAGCAAAGGAAAAACTGGAAATTTACCTCACAGCAGAGTCTAGATTCCCAGAAGGCATGAAAAGGAAAGGAGACACTATGAAATTGGGTTCATCGCTATGCCCCAAAGCTGAACCCAACTCGTCCATCACATACCTGCGAAAGAAGATATCAGCGCCACCAAAATCTTAAATCACAAAAGAAGATACTATTAAAGATTGATGTGTCTAAAAAATTCCAACAGGATAGCATTATAGCAATATTCATAATTTCTCTCCTTCCTTCCTGAATTTATCTATTTCAATGAAAAATGCAGCACTAAAAAATCAAACACTCATGAGGTTTTCTTTTGTTAAACTAATCCACCGCAGTAGTTCTAATGTAGCAAAAAAAAAAAGGAAACATTGCATACCACAAGGAAGTTTCATCAATCTTTTCCTCATCAGCAAGGCGATAAGTCATTAAATACGACCACATTGCACCAAGAACACGATCAGCAAGACTATCCTCAGGACTCGGCTCAGGAAGGCGTGGTGGAAGCAACGAGTCAACAACATGCTTTCCATTCTCAAGTATTTTAGCTGTAGAAACCCCATTTAACAAATAAAGGTGTGGGAGAGATTGAAGGATCTCGACAGCACTGTTTCCAAGAGGTCCAGGTATGTCAACCTACAAAGAAGACACAGCATGTGAGCACATCCCTCAGCATAACATATATTTTCCTTAACATTCCGAATATGTAAAGGAAAACTTCCAACAAACCTCTAAGGAAGACAGCGAAGGGAAGAGCTTCAACACTTCAAACAATTCTCCAACAGAATTCTGATCCAATGGATTTCCACGGATATTAAGTTCAGATAGTAATGGCAATTCATGCGCAGAGAATGCCTGAAAATGAATAAAGTAAAGTAGATACATCAGACACGTATGTACCAATACTGCGACAGGTATGTTCATCAATACTCTCTCTGTTCTCTTAGAGGAAGTAAGGGGATAAAAACTAACCTTATTGACTAGATTGTGTATCGACCGGTTTGAAAGGTCAAGTGATGTGACATCACACAAAGGTCGATCCTCTTGAACACAACCAGGATTATCCTTCCCAAAGATATCTCCACAGAAACCAAGTGCCCACAAACCGTAATTAGGTGTAAAACCAGAGTTGTAGATTTCCAAACTCGGACACCGTTGAAGTATTTCGTCAGCCATCTGACGTTCACTGAAAAGCATACATATATACATTAGAAATCTATTATACTATCCCCATCATCGATATGTTTTTTTCAGTCCATATATACCTCTTTTGAAGAACAGGATTGTCATTTAGCCACAAAGCCTTCAGATTCTTAAACTTGGCAACCTCTTGTATAACCACATCAGCACTCTCGATTTTGTTCCCGATAAGACTCAGCGCAAGTAAATCCTACCAAAACAATGGCACCAGCACAACAAGAACAAAAAAGCTTTAGAAATTTGATACGAAAATCTGAGTTCAAGTCTTAGCATGAAAGATCTAAAAGGCGTGCCTGAAATTTACTAGGCAAGTGCAGAGACACCAATGAGTCATCATCTATTCCAAGACCTTCCAACTCTAACCATCTTAAAGAATCATATCCTTTTTCCGCTGCATCACGAATTTCACTCTCTATTATCTGATCAACAGAGAGTTCATCATACTTCTCTGCGAGTTCTTCTTCTTCTTCTCCAGCATTTCCCTCTACATCAGTGTCAACACACATTAAAGAACCCATCCTCTCAGCCAATCCCGGAATTTCCTGAAGCTGAAGTATCCAAAAGAAAGATAAAACAAACGGTGAGCTATGCTCTTAGAACAACTAAACCTAAAGGAAAAAGGCAAAGAAACAATCTTTTATACTTCTTTCTAACAATTTGACTGAACATTTTTATTTGAATAGCCAAAGATAGATAGAAATAAACGGTAACTAAGAACATATCATTGTTCAAGCTTCTCACAAAAATGAAACTTTTGCAAGTGAAATATGAAAACAAAAATTCAATTTTGATTCCTAGAATCAGTGTTAGCTGACTAACAATTCGACTGACCAAACTTACATAGAATCAAAAGATACAAACTTGTAACTAAGAGCAAATCAGTGTTCAAATTTCTACCATAAAAATGAAATCTTTGCAAGTAAAATGTGCAATCCAAAGTTCAATTTTGATTCCTAAGTCAGTTTAAAGTCCCAATTTGAGTGAGAGTGGCGTTACAAAGACACACACACACACCTGCTTATAAGCATCGGGAAGACGAAAAGTCCAGGCGTGATCGACAAGGAAGACGTCAGAATCTTTAGGCATGGATTCGGAAGTGAGAACAAGCTTCCGTCGCCGACCATCGTCGCAGGGTTCGATCTGAAAGTGAGCGCCGCCATCAAAAGTATCGGAAGCAAGTTTCTCGAATAGTCGTTGGTGAAGTTTCTGCGGCAATCCCGAAGCTGCTAAGAGTACTCCATGTACCTTGACGAAATCTTCCAAGCTCTCGATTTTGGCCATTTTTGCCCTTTACGTCGTGAATTTTGAAGCCAACGACGCTTCCTTCTTCACTCTCTCGGGGGTTTTCTTAGGGGTTTTAGTTGCGTCTTCACAAATTGGTTTGTACAATTTAATTTCGGTTTGGTGAGTTTTTTTTTTTGCTCACAATTTGTGTTTTTCAATTTCGGTTCGGTCTAGCGTTTTTTTTGGTTTTTGAGTATTTTGGATTTTGTGAATGATCCGAACTAAAACCGAAATTCTTTTCGGTCCGATTTAGTTCATTTTCAAAATTTGTTCCAACATAGCCACATCAATGTCCTCATCACATTCTTTCTCAACGAGAGAATGGATTTTTTTTTCTTATAGAGAATATACTTATAGAGAATATATATCACAGACTAGTATGATTCTTAAGTGCTTTCACCAACTTTTCGTACGATCCTTTTAAGAAGCAACTTGTAAGAATATAAACGACTTACCATTGATCATGAACAACGATTGAGTGATCACAAAATGCCTACTTTTCCGAATTGCGCGTCTGCACTACTAGGTGCCAAAATCTAATGGCCAACTCTAATCTCACTAAGATGAATATTTATAGTCAAAAGTCTATACACATAAACAAAATGGCCTAAACCACCTACCCAAAAGTATTCGTATGGCAGTATATATACGTTTTAAATTACAAGCATTTTGTCTCAGATATTGTTGTTATCACTTATCTATAAACAGAACAAAAGAAATAATTAAAAACAAATAAAAATAAAAACATAAATTAGCAACAAGTATGTATCTAGAACAGCTTGCAGGTGGTACAGCTTGGCCAACTGGTATTTGCGTCTCCATTTTTCAGTTTTTTTTTGTCTCCAATCAAAAGAAAAAGAAAAGTCTAATACTATATATTAAAAAAAAAACAAATAAAAAAATAGTAGTAACACTAACGAACGATTACGCAAAATTGTCTCAAATCTCAGTTCCCACTTGAATCTACGAAACTGCTCGAAAAGAGAAAAATCAAAATTGAGATTTTTTTTCGACATTAGAGGATAAGCGGAAGAAGCTTTTATCATCTCCACCATTGTTCTCATAAAAGATAGCAACAATCGAAGAAGAGCTTGAAATGGGCCACCACCTCCACCACCACGACGGTGGCGATGGCGTCCCACAACATGTCAATAGCCCACGATTCTCCGGTCCCATGACACGTCGTGCTCAATCCTTCAAACGCGGCGGCTCCGGAGGCGGCAGCAGCAACAACAACAACAGCAACACTCACGTCGTCGGCGGCGGCGATAATAATAACACCAGCTCGAGCGCGAACAATCACTCCTCCACCTTGAGAGTTCACCACGAGATCGATGTACTGCTTAACTCGCCGAGATCAGAGATCGTTTCCGGTCCGGGCTCAGATCCGAGCACTGTGTTTGATTCGGCGATCAATAGAAAGCACCAGACGTATGGTCAGTTGCGGGAGAGAGTTGTGAAAGGTTTATTGAGGAAGCCGATGGGATCGGTGGTTTCGGAATTCAGCTTGAGAGAGAGGAAGAAGCTTGGGCATTGGATGTTCTTCGTCTTCTGTGGTGTGTGTTTGTTTATGGGCGTTTTTAAGATTTGTGCTACTGGTTGGTTTGGATCTGCCATTGATGGTGCAGCCTCTGATCAGGTAGGTTACTGAAATTGCGTATTCATGTTTCCCAAAATCGGCTGCTTAATTTAAGATTTTCACATTTATGATGCTGAAATAGTGTTTTTGAAACATAATTTTTGGTGATTTTCTTCTAGGATTTACCCAATTCGATTCCTCGAGTAAATCTACTAGATCATAGCTCTCATGATTATATCTATAAAGATGGAGGAAACGATGTTGATCCAAGTTTGGTTACGGTTGCTTCAGGCGTGATGGATGGTGAACAACACAGTGTGGTTGAAGTAAGTCTTCAGATTTTCTTGTACTGCTTCATTCATAGTCACCACTGTCGTCAATATTGAAATCTTGGTGTTGCTTTGTTCTTGATTGCAGTATTCAGGTGTGTGGGCAAAACCTGAGAGTGGGAATTTCTCGCAGTGCATTGACAGTTTAAGGAGTCGTAAAAGTATGCTCTTTGGCTTGTTGGTCTCATTCTCTTTGTTTGTTTGTCCTCTGCTGTGTGTTCTTATCGTATGAGTATATGTTGTCTGCAGAGTTAGCTGCTAATACGAATGGGTACCTTCTCATAAATGCAAATGGAGGACTAAACCAAATGAGATTTGGGGTCAGGCTTTTGTGTTTTTCTCAGTGTTTCTGAAGTTAGATTCTGTTTATAAGTTCTAGGCTGATGCGTTTAACCATTTTAGAATGCAGATATGTGATATGGTTGCTGTGGCTAAAATCATGAAGGCAACTTTGGTTCTTCCCTCACTTGATCACAGCTCTTATTGGGCAGATGACAGGTTAGTTCTTACTTGTTAACTACTCTGTAGATTTCATCTAATTAACGAAGTTAGATCCTCTTTGTTATTATAAAACTAAAGCACTACCATAGTCATGATAGGTAGCTTTTAGTTCAATTTGTTATCTGCTCTTCATCTGATTTCCTTATTCCACCATATTCGTAGTGGCTTTAAGGATCTGTTTGATTGGCAACACTTCATTGAGGAGTTGAAGAATGATATTCACATAGTCGAGATGCTGCCATCAGAATTAGCTGGAATCGATCCTTTTGTTAAGACACCCATATCATGGTCTAAGGTGAAGACTTATTTCGTATTTTTTGGTTCACTATTATGTGGATACAGTTGTTTTCAAGAAGATCCTCTGTTTCCGTGTTATAGGTTGGTTACTACAAGAAAGAAGTCCTTCCGTTGTTGAAACAGCATATCGTAATGTACTTAACTCACACTGATTCCCGGCTCGCCAACAACGACCTGCCTGATTCTGTACAAAAGCTTCGTTGCCGAGTAAACTACAGAGCGCTGAAATATTCTGCTCCAATAGAGGAACTTGGAAACGTTCTAGTTTCTAGAATGAGGCAGGACAGAGGTCCATACCTTGCTCTTCATTTAAGGCAAGTACATTACGATACATGCAAGACCAGTTTGATTGGTTTGGTGTATGGATCATGCAAATACTGAGATATCTTCATCATCCTCTGTAGGTATGAGAAGGATATGTTGGCTTTCACAGGCTGCAGTCATAGTTTGACAGCTGAAGAAGACGAAGAATTACGGCAGATGCGGTATGAGGTTAGTCACTGGAAAGAGAAAGAAATAAACGGAACAGAGAGGAGATTGCAAGGTGGTTGTCCCTTGACTCCTAGAGAAACCTCGCTTTTGCTGAGGGCTTTGGATTTCCCGTCCAGCTCTCGGATCTACCTCGTAGCCGGTGATGCTTACGGAAACGGAAGCATGGATCCTCTCAACACAGACTTCCCCAACATCTTCTCACACTCAACTCTTGCCACTAAAGAAGAGCTGAGTCCGTTTAATAATCACCAGAACATGTTGGCTGGTTTGGATTACATCGTTGCACTTCAGAGCGAAGTGTTTCTCTACACTTACGATGGGAACATGGCGAAAGCGGTTCAAGGTCACAGGCGATTCGAGAACTTCAAAAAGACCATAAATCCAGACAAGTAAATTCTCCAAACACCCAAACTAGTTTGTAGTATAAAGTTTTTATATCATTTTGGTCACATCTTCTTTCTTTGATACAGGATGAGCTTTGTGAAACTTGTTGATGCATTGGACGAGGGAAGAATTTCGTGGAAAAAGTTCAGTTCCAAAGTGAAAAAGCTGCACAAAGACAGAAATGGAGCTCCGTATAACAGAGAATCCGGCGAGTTCCCGAAGCTGGAAGAGAGTTTCTACGCGAATCCTCTTCCCGGATGTATCTGCGAAGAGACTGAAGAAGAAGATAATAGTATGCGACGGATATAATCATGAAGACGTGCTTCTTCTGGTAACTTTCTTTTAGTTTACAGTTAGCGAAAAAAAAGAAGAAGAACGGGATTGTGATTTTTTGAGTCTCCTGAAGCCAGAGAAGGTGATGAGTGTTGATTACCAAAGGCTCAAGATTGAGGTAAAAAATGGTTTCAGAGACGAATTAGAGAAACTACGGAGACAGTGTCTTACTGGGAAAACTCGGCAGGTATGTTCTGAAAATGTTCATCCTCAAGTCAAATTCTACCAACAAAGTTCGGCTTTAGCTATATGATGCTATAGAGAGATTTTGTGGAAAATGGGTAAACAAATAGGATTCATTGTTTGTAACACTACAATTGTCATTTTTGGGTTAACTGAAATCAACTTTTTGTTCTTTTACACGCATTAATAACATAAAATATATATTGCTGCAGAAGATATCTTCCTCAATTTCCTCACTCACTCTGCTTATTTCTTTTTACTGCATTGCGATTAATCACATGGTGTTAACTGTTTCTTGCACTTTCGTGATACAAAAGACTCGTCCTGACCATTCGGGTTTCGGCTTGGATATTTCGAACTAGAACCAAAATATATTTTTGGCTTGATTTGACGGTAACACATGTTACTCGAATTCCGGTTTTTTTTAGTTAGTTTGATGAAACTTGGCTAATTTTGGTGAAATATCTATGAAGAATGGTCAAGCATTAAAATTTTAAAAGGCTATATATTCTAAAGTATGGAAATAAGAGAATTAAAAAAAACTCTGAAATTTAAATCTTCTGACTCTCAAAATGTTAAATACATAGGCAAAGTAATGTGATTGTTGGTTAGTTCGATTTATTCGGTTCGGTTAGAATAATTTGATGTTAAATTTTTTGTATGCATTTATGTTACTAAATAATCTTGTTCAACTTAGCCTGGATAAATTTTGTTTGGTTTGTATCTATTCGGGTGTCATATTTTTGCCTATTCCAAAGAGGTATCAAAGACCAAACAATATTCATTTACAGATCTTATCATATATGAACATACATAATCATCAAAATCTTTTAAGTGGTAGATATTAGATAAAATTTGCACCACAAATAAAGCATATCCTACCATTACCAAAACAAAAAAAAAAAAAAAAAAAAAAAAAAAAAAAAATTGGACTTGAGTCATCAGCTTTTTTTAGTTTTTTGGTAATGACAACAATAATATAAAACATCAAGCAAATGAAGTATCATCTGCATCGAATTGACTTTGCTAAAGGTGATCAGTATTTGAAAGAAAGGTGTCTTGGATGCAATTGATTTAATGATGACATTGTTTATCTGACACCATTCTTGTTTCATAAGTTTTTTTTTTTCTTTTTTTTTGTAAAATAAGTTTATGTTTTACACCATCCAATCATACTGGCACCCAATGCTATGTCATACTCTGTTTCTTCCCAACTGTTTGAAGCACACAAATTTTCCATGATACTGAAAACTCTCTTGCCCAATGTCCTGCTCTTGCCAATTTCACAAATACGGAACAAACTGCTCATTTTCTGCTAATCCTTACTTATGAATCCTTTGTAGCCTCTCTCTCTATTATAGAGATCATCTTCATCCCAACTACTACTAATAAAGATAAGTCTCATACTAGTAAATCTTGGTGACGGAGTATCAAATGTGAGGAAGAATCTATGTTTCTCATATGTGTGAGATTGACCTGAAAACCCAACCTTTAGCAAATCTAACAACAAATAAATGTGTGTAACAACAAATAACCTCATATGTGTGAGAGAGATAAAAATCAAAACTTAAACAAATCGAACAACAAATAAATGTAAAACTTTCTTACACGAACATGGTATAATTTTTAAATTCGTGAACGCATAAGTGAAATATTCTCTAAATTGAGGTTGTATTCATAAGTGTCTTGATTGTATTCTACCCTTTTTATTGAGGTTGACATCAATCAAGTTTGCCTAGTACTAACTATGTACACTTAAATATTTCAATTAACGAGTAGCAGAAGTATGAGAAAGCCAAACTAGAGAATATAGATGGACAATAGGAATAGACAAACCATGAAAGCTTTACTCTAAAGCAAAAAAATCATCGATTATGTTAATACCATAAAAAAAAAAAGTTCAAAGTCCCGCAACATCCCTAAAAGATGTTGTATTCCGAATATGGTGTATTGTATGAAGTAAAATTGTTTATATGACAACAATAATAAGTTTTTTTTTTCTGTTTTTTTGGGGTAAAAATATATATATATTTTTTTACGTAGTTAGGTGTTAATTTTAAAAATTGTAAAGAAATGGAGTTCAGACAAATTAAATAAAAAAAATACGAAAGGGGTGAATCCGGTATTCAATAGCACATTTACACATTATTTGGTCACGACACAAAACGACAACTTTAGTTTCTCATTAGAAAGAGATATTATTGCAGAAGAAATAAAACTGACCGGCGTTTCGTCTCTTTGTCTTTCCCGCAGCCTTTAAAAAGTTGAAAAACCACGAGGATCATCTTTTTCCTCCTTCTTCTTCTTCTTTGATCATCATCATCATCCACACTTATCAAAAGTACTTCTTCTTTTCTTCTGAACAAAAAACTAATTTAATTATTTTTCTTATCTAAAGTTTCAATCTTTCTCCTTCGTCCATCGATGATGTCTGTTTATTGAAATTGCCTGCTTAAAGTTTTGTATAGGTGAGAGATCTTCTCAAGGCTTTTTTTCTTCTTCTTAAACTTCATATATTGTACCCTCTGATTTACCTTTCTCTTCGAAAGTTACTTTTGAATTTGGTTTCTGAAATCTTCAAAGTTCAAACTCCGAATTGTCTGTATATAAATTAATTTGTTTTTTTTTGTTGTTGTCTGCGGATAATAAAGTTTGCAATTAATATGGTTTGCTATTTCTTATAATCATTTTTTGTGTGTGTGCAATTTCACCTTCCGATCTAATTTTAGGGATTTCACAGGGTTTAAATTTTCAGAATTGACTGTGTTTTGAATCTATGGATCTAAAGTTTAGTCCTTTATGCTCTGCTAATTCTTAACCAAACAATTGAAAAAAGGTGAAATGATTTATTGCAAGTGAATGAATAGAGTTATCTCAATACCCATCACTGTCTTAATATTTCCTCAATTTGAACTTATCTTCCATTATCAGTATCTATCTTGTTTGACTCAAATGTGTACTCTTTAGTCTTTACTAGTTTTAAGCAATAGTCTCTCTTTTGTGTTAGAAGCTTTAGATGATTATTGATTAGTAACTATTGTTGGTTAGTTTTTGATTGTTTTGACTGATCTTGTAGTGAAGTAAGTAATGGCCAAGAATGAGAAAGGAAGTGAGAGTCCAAGCTGGGGAGCTTCGTTTTTCATTCCATCATCAGAAGATGTTGCAACAGCTTTTGCCGCTGCTGCCTCTGCGATAAACCCTCCAAGGCCTTCTGTAGTCTTCTCGTCGAAAGATGAGAGCAGTGACAGCCCTCTTGGGAGACTACAGAGGCAGGTGTCGAAAGCGGTTAGAAACTTCTACGAAACTCCCAAAACAAAGAGTATATTGTACAATCCTGAGGTTTTGACTAGCCAAAAGCGTCAATGGGCCAACTTTCAGGTCCAATATTTGGTAAGCAATCACATTTTTCTCTTTTGATGGAGACATTTTGTATGAAAGATTTGATGTTTAAACATTTTGTTGTTGATAACTTATGTTAAAACAGGATCATAAACCATTGAAAGATCAACCGTCAAGGCTTTTTGAAAGCGTTGTTGTGGTTGGACTTCATCCTAATTGTGATGTTCAAGCACTTGAGAAGCAGTACATTGCGAGGAAATCTGAAGGCTCTAGTGGGAGGTTGCGAAGTGCGTCTCAGAATCATTCCCGTGTAGAACCTAGTCTCGAACCTCAGGTGAGATATCATATTTTTCTTTATATATTTGGGCATTTGCAAGATATGCTAAAGTGTTTACTGTATTTTCAGGTCTTACTTGTGTACCCTCCTGATAAGCAGCCTCCAATTAAATACAAAGATCTTCATTCATTTTGCTTTCCCGGAGGCATCGAGGTACTCTATTCGTTTTTGCTCATTTCCTTCTCAGCCTTTTAAGCTGAAACTGGTTTAGAATGCATATGTTGGCCTGATGCATTATTGTCTAGTAACGCATTGTAAGAGAATATCAGCTCAGAAATGCATTGTCTAGTATTAGTGTAATCGTCAAAAGCTTATAAAACAGTTTTGAGCTAAAATTTCATGATAATGCATTGTCTAGTATTAGCGTATGGTGGTCATAATTTTAGAATTCTTGTTGGTTCTCTGCATATGATACTTCGCTGGTACGTACCACAAACTTTAGATTCACTCACTTTTGAAGCTCTTTTAAAGCGTTTGAGTCTTTTTTTTAAAAGGTCTAGCAGATCTCTCTCTATGGTTAATTTGTTCGGTTTCACTTTACCCTTGATGATTTACTGTGTTTATATGTAAGAATTATATACTTTTACTATTTTACTTGTGGTGTCTATTAAGTTCATGCTGGTGACTAATGGTTTCAGGTCAATGCTGTTGAGAGAACTCCTTCCATGAGCGAGCTGAGTGAGATCATTCTCAGTCAGGTACTTGCCTGATGTGGAGTGTAGATGTAAAGATTGATCTTTCTACTTCATTCGCTTTAGTGATATTCGGAAAATATTGTGGATTTTATCGTTGTGTCAACTTCAGTTCATAAGGTGAAGATTTATATAATAATAACATACACTAATTTAAAACGGTGATGCTAACTTTGCAGGAACATCTTAGGCCTAGTGACCTTTCATTTGTATTTAGGTTACAGGTAAGCATCTCTTTTGTTTTGAAATCTTTATTACATTATACTTTTCTATTTGGATGAGTCATTCTCGTGAGATTTCTTCTGCAGGCTGCTGATAATTCAACTTTGTATGGATGTTGCTTACTAGTGGAAGAGATAGTGAATAAACCGTCCAGATTGCTTTCCACGGTTTTAGACAAACAACCTGCTCGCTCATCATTGAGCCGCTATGTCCTGACTACTCGCAGATGCTATTGCATCATCACCAGGCTGCCGTTTTTTGAATTGCATTTTGGTGTATTGAATAGGTGTGTCTACACTCGCTCCTGAGATCTTGTGGCTTTGCTTTTTAAAGTCGTGCTCACATTGATACTCTCCTTTTGATGTAGCATCTTCTTGGAAGAAAGATTGGAGAACTTGATGAGTGGCATCAGTGGTGCATCTTTAGAACCTCCAATAGATTTCAACAATGGCGAAAGCTTAAACGATTCATCACCCCGAGAAAGAGACTCTGAAGACACAGAAGAACAATCTGGTGAAGTTTCAGTACTCACTGAAGCCAACGAATTTTCAGATAATGGCACTTCTGAGACGAATCGGAATGTTGACGTCAACGTGGATCCAATAAAGAGAATTGTTGAGGAGATATCTGGTCTTTCAGTGTCTCATGAAGTTGATACAGCTGAAAAGGGACCAGAGCTCTGTTCTTCTGAGTCTAATAACAATGTCGCCGAAGCTGATGATTCCTTGCCAGTTATCAAGCAAGGCGGAGAAAGTTCTTTACCTGATCCTGTCTCCCTTCTTCGGTGTCCTTATTTGGATGAGATCTCTGATTCTAGCTCTAGGTACATCATTGAAATCCCTTCTTTACCTGTCTGTTTTAAGAGTATTGGACCGTCTTTTATCAAACTGTATGGGCGTAACAGTACTGATGTTTGTTAACTTGCTTAGTGGTTACCTTAATCATTGAAACTTTAAGTACCATGCATTAGTGGTTAGCGATCTTTTCGTATCATATAACATGATTTTTTGCAGCTTTCAGGCTGCTCCCTGCGAGAGGAGTGATTTAAGGACCAATGAAGATGATACTGAAACAGGTGAAGCATCTTTTTCTGGTCAAGATGATACAAGCAGTAATCTTGATATCCTTGAGTGGTCAAAGGTTTGTACATTTTGCTATCTTGTAAGTTTTTTATGCTGTGTTTTCCGTCACCATGCTTCTAACACTTGAACTTGACAAATCTCTTTCAGTCTGAAAAGAATGGGTCGTTGCAGATACTATGTGAGTATTACAAATTAAATTGCCCGGCAAGAGGTTCAACTATTACATTTCATCCTCTGGACCACCTTCATCCGGTCGAATATCATAGACTTGATGAAGCGGTGTTGCATACTCCCGGAGCATCAGCTGACCTTACTTCATGCAGCACTAGTCTAGAATTAGCGGAGGTATCAGCCGGAATAAAATCTGACATACATAATTTTGTAGCATATCCGGAAACCTATATAAGACTTTCTAGAAACTCTTTATCTTCCTTTGGTCTTCAGGCACACACTGCGCTCATGGCTGAGGAAGAAGCAGCTGCACTATCAACATGGGCTGTTGCTTCGTTATGTGGATCACTGCGCCTTGAAAATGTGATTTCTTGCTTTTCGATATATCTCTTACATGATTATCTGACTGTGATGCTGCTTCACATACACAAAAACACATAAAATCATCTTTAGTGGTTTCCATATGTGGACTCTAAGTTGCAGTGTTTCTTATGATAATGTCAATGCATTCTTCTTCTGGTTACTGCGCCTGATTTTCGACCGACACTCCTTCCTGCATTTGGACTGATTTACCTTACACTCTTTTCTTTACAGGTCTTGATGATCTTAGCAGGAGCACTGCTCGAGAAACAGATTGTATTTGTTTGCTCCAATTTGGTAAACATATATAGCCTGTGTCATCATACAATGAGTCTACTTTTTTAATACAATTTAGTAAAGCAGATTGTTTTGTCTTCTCTGTGAAATACATAGGGAATCTTAGCTGCATCAGTTCTATCAATTATCCCAGTGATCCGTCCCTTTCGGTGGCAGAGCCTTTTAATGCCGGTACTGTCCTCTTTCTGTCTGGTATCGTCACTGAGAATCCGTTGGTAACCCCATGTATATGACTAATGACTAGCCTTGATTTCCAGGTTTTGCCAGATGATATGCTGGAGTTTTTGGACGCTCCAGTCCCTTACATTGTGAGTTTGTGAACATGATTCGTATGTTGTAAGATCCGTATCATTATTGTTATATGTTGCTTAACAAGCTATGCTCATTCTAGGTTGGTGTAAAGAACAAAACAAGTGAAGTTCAGTCCAAACTAACAAATGTTATAGTTGTGGATCTTATTAAGAACCAGGTCATTTTCTGCATTTTCCTTCATTATCTTCTCCTAATTATCGTTCTTAGCAATCACATTTGTGGTAACAAAACTGCTAGTGATAGAGGAATTTGCTCACTATCTATTATCTCTAATGACATTTCAGGTAAAATCACCAAGTATACCTCAGCTGCCTCAGTATCGTGACTTATATAACGCGCTGAGTCCTTATCACTCGAAGCTCGTTGGAGAAAGCTATCTAGCAAAGAAAAGACCAGTGTATGAATGTACTGATGAGCAGGTCTCTAACTCTCTCTCCCTCTCTCACTCGATCTCTTTGTGTATCTTATATTTTTACTCTACAGATATGCCATGTAACGTGCCATTTCTAACCACTTGTCGTCAATTGTGTTGCACACATTTTTGATTATATCCAAAGGTGGAAGCTGCAAAAGGCTTCTTGGGTGTCCTAAGGTCGTACTTGGATTCTCTTTGCTCTAGTCTCCAGTCACACACTATAACAAATGTGCAGTCCAACAATGACAAGGTTTGTTTCTCTACATCTACCAGTCAAATGATTTTGAGGTCCTCTCTACGATCTAAGTAATGTATATTAATGTTTTCTTTCTTTCAGGTATCACTTCTCCTAAAGGAAAGCTTCATCGACTCCTTTACTAGTCGTCATCGACCGTTCATGAAGGTTAGAGCCTCCTTTGCATTTTCGTTATAGTTTGATTAAGACTTGACCTTTGGCCTAATTGTATGGCTTTGATGTTTATTATTGGGAACAGCTATTCGTGGATACACAACTCTTCTCTGTACATACAGATCTTGTTCTTTCCTTTATCCAGAAGCTATAGAAGATATTGATTACATGTATACCGTTAAAGCAAACTACTTGTTGGTGGGAAACACAATACTATGAGACATAGGTGAGAATTGTGGTATCAATCATCTGTATTTGTAACTTTATTGTTTGAGAAAAGTGTATATGGAAAAAGACTTCCATATAATGAGGATTTGATGCAGAGAAACCTTCAGATCATCTTTGTATCCAAAGCTTATTATGTCTTTAAACACAGTTGGTGTTTAGATCTTAATACTCAACGGTCACCAACTTATGTTTTTGTTTGTGCTATTCTCAATATAATATATGCGTTGATAATATTAACGAACGTGTTTCCATACATTATTTAGTCGGATGTGGTATGTAACTTGTGTAAAAGTTTTATTTATTTTGTTTTGTCTTCTTGAAGATGCTTAATAAACTCTTTTTGCAATCGAAGTTTAGTGCTCGGTTGGAAAGAACCGATCTATACCTTACAAAATCATGTGTCGTTTTTTGTTTAATTTTTTCCACATTTGCCCAAGCTATCACTAATTCCTCAAACCTTAACTTTTCAACAAGTTAATTTGTGCAGTTCTAACAATTACATAAAAAGTTAAACTAGTTATAGTTAAACATGTTTTGTTGTAATTGTATTATATAGACTTGGATGCGTTCTATAAGAGTTTGATACGTGTGATTTTATAATTCATCATATCACAATATGTTATTACTAATTTCGAACATATTAAAAAAAAAAATTGTAAAAGGAAAAAAGGACAAAAAATAAATGAAAAAACAAGTAAAAAGTTGATTCTTATGACAAAAAAAAAGTACAATAAAAAATCACAAACAGAACAAAGGAAATTGCACTTAATAACCATAAAAAAAAGGAAATTAAGGATATAGCTATATCAAGTGATTGGCTACGATACATTGCATATTTTATACAATATTACCACAATTTTCCTCCTCTTGTGATAGCTAAAGTTTGAGCTGTTGGCTTTAGGTTAGCTTGGGATTAGCCGACAAAGAACACTATATTGGCGTAAAATTTTAAAATTGGTAAAAGGGGGAATTTTTCGTGAAGGTTCTTCGTGAGATGTATTCTGTTCTACAACGAAACTGGCGAATTTGCTATTTTAGAAGGAAGGCGTTAAGGAAATTTGGAATCCAATATCACAGTAACGAAATCAAGGGTTTATATTTGGGATCGCTTGGATACACAATAACGAGGTGGAAGAAGCAACATAATATCTGCAATTGCCGATTTAGAGTTAGAGTTTTGCAGAGGAAGACTACAGAGGAGAAGTAAGCATGTAAGTCTCCGAAACTTGGATTGCGAATTTCTGGGTTTTAAGGGATTCTGTGAAAATGCTTGTTTTCCTGTGCAGCGTGTAAGTTCTGAAAAGGGTTAAGAAGAAAAGGGGAATAGTAAGTCGAAAAAGAAATTTGAAGTCTGATTAAATCGAGTAAATCGTGAAAGTAGCTCCATTTGAAATGTGTCGCAATTAGGTTGGAAATTAGCTCAATTCGCTCATGCTGTTGGCATCGAATTCGAATTCAAGGGATTAGCCGCAGAGACCTTTATTGGATCTAGAACCCGAAATGTTTGAGACCCGACCCGAATTAGAAACCTTAGTGGTCAATTCGGTATTTGAGCTCCACCGGCTTCTGGCCTGATCCGGTTCAATCGAGAAGCTCTTCGCAACCGTCAAGGCTTTGAAGCCGAGCATAGTGACGGTGGTGGAGCAAGAAGCAAACCACAACGGAATCGTCTTCCTGGAAGGTTCTACGAAGCGCAGGAGTATCCGATAAATACGACTATGTGGACTAATAAGTTTTTCTTTGTAGTTGAAGGTTTTGGCGAAATCGGCTCCGATTTGCAGTTCAAATGGATACCCATTAGAGTAGAAAAGCTACTATTCTCAATCACAGTCACCCAAGCTTTGCTACACCAAATTTGTGGATGTTCAAAATTGTCCATCTAACTATTCTGTTTTAGTCGTTATTTTGTTGACATACAATGAGTGTTTGGTGATAGTTCAATTTTGTAGTTCAAAATGCGAATGTGTTTGTTGGGAATTTAACTGCAGTCTGCCATTAAGAGGACCTGTTATAAAATTTGCAGGAGAACTCCTTATGATGAAAGAAGCTTGTGAGTTGGCGGCAAATGTGTTATACTATGTAAAATGCTGGAAATATGTGAGACCGATGTAATGGTATAGAATAAAGATAAATGCGGAAGTAGTTTCCTAATGATGGATTAGCAATTTTTTTATAACCATCATACGTCACATTTTACAAATTTTTAAAAATGCGAAATCACGTTTACGTAATTGCTAGTGTTCATTGAAGCTCGAGAAGCAATGAACTTGAACATTATGGTGCATTTTGGGACCATTTAGCAGCCCCTGCACGGCTGCACCGTATTAGCTTTAACAAAGACTTTTTCATCTTTTTTGTTTCAGTAGTATAGACCACAATCTTTCAAATAGTATAGATGTGAAAGCTTTACTCGGCACCGTATTCATTTTGGTCGGCTGAAAAGATGATGTCATCAGCTTACACCACCTATTTTCCTACCACTTAACGAGGGGTTTTGTGTCATTTGTAAGCGCATGAGATAGCTCACTTAAATACAGATCTTTTATGGTTATTGGCTTTATTTTGAACCCCAATATGTATATTGGCCTAATTCACCCAAAGAACAATGCACATCAGAAAAAAAAAGAATAACAAATAATTAAGAAAAAGTTAAATTTTAAGAAAAAAGAAAAGAAAATGTAATATTTGTTTGAAAATGAAAAAATATTGAAAATAAATATCAATAATGGTGGAAAACAAACACAAATTTATAAAAAGGTGAATCATTATAGAAAAGTAAAAAGATAACTAAAAAAAGTTATTGTGATAGAAAATAAAAATATTATTTGTATTATGATAAGTGTTGTGGTTAAAATGTATCGAGAAACATGTTATTTAATTAAGTTTTATTTTAATCATGATCCTAATTCAGTTATTGTATTTAGGAAAATGTATATATTGAAAAAAAAATTTGATTCTAATAGTGTAATTTTCTAATTTTACTTATTTAAAAAAAATATAAAATTTAGTTTTTTATTTATGTGTATTTTTTTCTACAACACATAAAACACTAAATTATAAATACCGCATATACGTGAGACCTAGTTGGATATAAAATGATATATGACAAGTGGATTATAATACATCAACAAATTATTCTTACTTTCTATGTCTAACTATAATCGGACAACAAACAAATTTCTTTAATGAAGTGGTCAAATGAAATTTTGCCACGTCTCTATATTCTTTTTGTATGCACTACAAATTAATGTTTTCAGATTTGAACATATCATAAAATTATAATTATAATGTACATATATTTTACTATATATGATGTCCTTAAGTCCTTTGTGTATATCTTATTTCATTATAGATTTTCTCTCATTTTTATTGGATAATCTTTAAGATTTTTATCTATTTTCTACATTTTTTTACTATACTTGTAAAATGAACATGTTTTGATAGATTTGTGTCTATCTTTAATAACAACTTCGCCTATAAATAAAGTTGGGTTTGCTTCAGTATTTTTCATCAAAGTTTATCAAATCTTCTTCATCACCCTTCTACCTCACCAAACACCGATCGGCCTTTCAACATTCCCGGTTTCTCACATTCCACTTTCGATCAAGAGCATCAACGTGATGCCTAGTTCATATATTTTTTCTGATAATAACAACAATTATCTTCATCCCTAGTGGCCTCTGGGGCTTGAATGTTAATTGTATCGCAACTAAGAATAACTAAACCACATTGCTAATGCTTTCTTACAGGTTTCTAGTGTTGAAAGCTGAAGAATCTCTTCACGGAAGAATTAGAGAAAACTGTGTTCAAGGTGTTTCATGTCAAAAGACAATGGGAAAGTCTCCATTGTCCACTGACATGTAAACATCTTCAACACATTTTTCTCCACATTGTTTCGTAAAGAGTTCCTTCACTTCCGTTTCCGAAACTGGAAACCCACGAGAAAAGGTTAGAAAATGGGGTATGGTCGTTCTGCGTCGCAATGCAATTAGCACTCCATCCCCAAACACCCTTAGGAATTATATCTCTTTAAATGAATTCAACTGGATCCCTCTCACTGCAAGATATATGAGAAAAAACATATCTCTTCAAATAATCTACAGATATGGATGTAGTGCAATCAGGGTAATCAAAAACTCGAGAACAAATGGTAGTTCAGAAGTTCTTGATACCCGTGAATGCGCTGTATCGGTGTTTGTAGATTATCTCAAGAGATATTTCCTTTTCCATATATCTTGTTGCAGTGAGAGGGATCCAGTTGAATTCATTTGACGGTTCAGAAGCCTCAAGGCACCGGAGGAAGCGCGAGACATCATCATTAGAGAAATCCACAATCAGTGGATCTCCGAGAGCCAGGATGGTGTAGTTATGATTTAAAAATGTAAACACTATATGATTGATGTAAAACCTAATAAGATTAATAATATTGGCTTTGTTTCCATGATTTCTATGGCCTTCATAGGAATATGATTCAAGCCACAAAGTCGTATCTTTCCATGAATCTTTGATTATGATAGCGAATTATATTGCTTGTACGTACTCATCTTATTCTAGGTTACACTAATGATTTTCTCTTCAAACCGTCATGCACCTAGCTCAAGTCTATATAATTTTCTATCCAGATTTGTGACTGTGATTATCTCTCTCTTAAACTTTGCAGACTTTGAATATCGCAATCTCCTTTCTCACGTTTCCACTTTCCTCTTAACTTTGATTTTTTCTTTTCTGATCTTCGTCTAGCTAGGAGAAAATTAACGTCTGTCATCATAGGAAGAGTAAAATATTTGTTCAAAGACTATGATGTCTTACTTTCCAGTTTTCGGGCAAAATAAAACCGGAAAAATGTAGAAAAAACGATTCTCGGATTGGAAGAAGTAGGGTCTAATTTTGTGTGTGTGAAGATTGTATTATTAAAAAGCATTTTCT